TGAACGATATTATGACCAAAACACTTGCCTTCGCCACGCTGTATTCCACCACCTTCTTGCTGGTGAGATCACTCTTATTCCCAACCAGCAGCTTATTGACGCCCTCAGAGGCGTATCGGTCTATCTCCTGTAGCCATTGCTTGACATTCGTAAAAGTGTCTTATTGTCAGGGTAAGCATTTAAGTCGGCGTTTCAGGCAAGTATTCTCACCGTTATCAGTAACGTCGTACACAACGATGATACCGTGAGCGCCTCTGTAGTACGAGGACGTGATGGTGCGGAATCTTTCTTGGCCTTCTCGCGCATCAGCCTACCATTGCACGGAAGCTAGCGGATGAACGTACCTGCAGTGTCCCACTGTAACACGAATATGAATGGTATGTAAGCAACAAGTTAATGATGTAAGAAACAATAAAAATGGATCATGCGGCTTCGCGAAGCCGTGCAGATTGACTGCACCAGCGCACTCCAGTGCACGTAATGCCAGTAGTGTCTTCCTGCAGCACTCCAAATAAGGAGAGTCGTGAATGACACCCAACTCACAATCTGGAGCTTGACGGTCTTGCCTTCAAGTTCGATGGTGCGGATCTTGAAGTCAACACCAATGGTACTGATATAACTCTCTGTGTACGTGTCGTCTGCGAAACGGAGGAGGAGACAAGACTGTTGAACGACACGAGGTCAGCAGATACTTGAATTTGGTCGCCGCAGTAGCAACCGTACCTTTCCAACACCAGAGTCGCCGATGAGGAGAAGCTTGAAAAGATAGTCGTACTCGCTGGTGTGCATGGTGAGCTCGAGGATGAGATGAACGTCGACTAGGGTGGAGACTAAGGGAGACGAGGCAAGAAAAGACTTGGGACAAGGTGAATTGGCGGTTGGTGCTGTGTGACGCGAGGTGTGTGAGGCGTGACTTTGCCAACACAACAGGGCACCGCCCAAGCACCGCCACCGTCATGTCCCCTTCTCTGCCCCACAACAATGAATGGAGTTCTGGCAGGCTTTGGTCCGCCTCTCATTGCGTAAATTATTGCACATTTATCTGGGCGACGAGAATATCACCCTTGCCTCTGGAAATGTCCTTTTAGCGCGCTCAGTATGCTTCGTCGAGCGTGTGTGATGTAAAGTCGGTTTAACCTTGAAAGCACCTACGCGTAGACGCCTAGAGCTTCACTATAAAGAATACCGGGGAGGTGGGGTTGTAGTCCCTGATGATAATGAGAGGTTCCTCCGTATTGTGGACTACCTCATTTAGTGAAGATGCGTGTTTCGCCAGTCATGCAGTCCTTCCGTCACATAACTCTAGTGCAGTATGCGGCCGACGGTTCTAATTCATAACCGATGACATCGACATAAACTGGCGTGGCCTACGGTCATCATGTATTTCTACCGAGACTAGTTCAGGTCAGATTTCAATCAAGACCGATCAAGTAGGATCCAATCGATTGAAGGGGACTTGCAATCGTCAGTGATTCAGAAGCTTCTTAGGCCTCTTCCGATCTAACTCATCACCTTGACTCATCATCTACTGTTCTCTCGATAAGGCGACCCATACGAACACGTCGGACTATCTCAGTGACCCTACCCAAAGGATGCAGCTTCGCCTACAACGTGGACTTCATAATGACCCTTCTGTTTTACTCAGTGATGTTTCACTGGCCAGTAGCCAGGAGTAGTGGGTCTCGTGTTCTCCCACCCGCGTAATTTTACTGATGGCCCCTTAGCGCGTATCTGATTCGCACCGAGTACGTGCTTTACTGTCGTCGCATTAGTCCCCTCTCATGCCATCTATAGCATTGGGGGACAAGATTTTTGGATCACATTTGACACCGGCTCTTCAGACCTTGTGAGGCTGCCGTTATCTTTTTCGACAGACTATGATACACTTTGAAATTCATCTTCTATTTTTCAGTGGGTGGTTTCATCAGATTGCACCAATTCAGATTGCGCGGGCATTACAAGATATTCGCCCCCGTCATCTAGCACCCTGACCTTATCAGATCAACCTTTCAAGCTAACATACCTGATGGGGTCAGTACTGGGAACAGTAGGCACAGAGACCGTGACACTCGGCCCGTATGAAATATTATCTCAAACGTTTGGTGCGGTCCCCGTTTCATATCCTTGTTGAAATATTCAACGGTCACCGCGCAGCCTTAGCAAACCAGACGAGTGGGCTCGGTCTCTCTAACACGGGAAACTCGGGCATTCTAGGCCTGTCGTTTCCACTTGCCGCTTCCATTCCCCTCACATCTGGGACGCCCGTTTTGAACAATATATTTTCTCATTTTGGTGACCAGCACCGGTTCTTTGCGTTCAAATTAGGACGAAACGAGTCGCGGGACATATCGCATTCAGATTCATCATTCACTATCGGGGAATTAGACTCCTCCCTGACAAATGATACAAGCCAGTTCGTATTTACGCCGGTCTTCGCATCGACACCAGACGAGTATGACTTCTGGAAGCTTCCGATCCAGGAAATCACCATCAACTCTCAGGTCTTTCCTCTCTCTCGTTCGCTGGTCCGCGGTGCATCGTCGCCAATCGCTGTACTTGACACCGGAACAACTCTTATTTTAGGTCCGACTGGAGACGTTAATGCGTTCTGGTATGCCATAGGTACGGGTGGGTCCACGAGGTTCAATCAGCAGACACAAACGTGGCAAGTGAGGTGCGAAAGGGCCGTGGATGTGCGCATTAAACTTGGCAACTCCGATACTGCAAAAGAATATCCACTTCATCCTGGGGATGTCAGCTGGGCTGAAGGTGAGACGCAAGACGGCTGGTGTACCGGTGGAATACAGGCAAACAACGGAGTGAGAGTGATCCCAAACTAAAACTTCGTTATGATCTGATTTCATCCCATAGGTCGACTCTGGAGACTGGCTTCTCGGGGCTGTGTTCTTGAGGGTACGCTCAGAATTTTCTTTACTTTACGTCTCTAATACTTTGCAGAACGTCTACGTCATACACCACGGCACAACAAGTTCCAACCCACCGATGATCGGGTTGTTGAATACGACGGACCCATCAACTGCTCTCGCCGAATTCATATCGTCCAGAGGACCAGATCCAGCCCCCCCACCTTCTTTGCAACGCGCTGGTTCTTCAGCTACGGAAATGAGAGACACTATCGCGACTTGTGTGGTATGCGGGGTGTGCGGATTTTTGATTGGAGTCATTGGTATTGTGATCTACCGTCTTCGGCAGCGAAAGCGATCGCAAGGACAAGTCCATATATAATACAACCCAAGTAGATACATATATAAAGCCATAGTACAGAGACGCAGCATCGTACATCGTCATACAAGCATAACACTCAATCAACCGCTCGACATTCAAGGTATCACTTCTGAGGTTGGATGTAGCCTGGCTGGTATCCAGCGTTCTGAGGCGCACCATACTGGGCTTGCAACTGGGGGTGCTGGTACCCAGGTTGGGCAATTTGAGGCTCCCACCTGCCAAAGAGTGTTGGCAATTCAACTACCGTAGATTAAATGAACCACTTACCCAGGCTGCGTATTCACCTGGAGCTGACATATTCCGCACATCCAGATATGCTTCGAGTTCATAGGGATGAGCGGAACGAAGCACAACTCGAACCAGGTCCTAGACTTTGCGGAGAACATTGCAGCTGCAGGATTTGTTTATTGGACATATGCAGTAGTAGAGCCATACGACATACCATTATGGCACCGAGGACATATTCTGGCTTCTTGATTTCCTTCCGGCTTAACCTTTGTGGGGCAGCCAACTGCGGATGGTATTTATATATTGCACGAGCATACTAGGCAAGAGATCCCACGAACAGATGATTGGTAGACAGACTGTAGGAAAAGTGTTAGAAACCGGTCAGCAAAATGTGTATCCTGTCTCACAAAAGCAATCCATAGTAATGTCGGGGATGAATGAAAGAGTTGGAGTTGTGTTTGCCGCTAGCGCTGCGCAGTCACATAATCACTTCACAGGGGAACCAAATTGATACCTATTTGGTTTGACCCAAAAACATGTACAAAAGCATATGTGCCAATTTGAAATTAGCGCCAACTCATCAAGACTCCCGTACGCTCGACTAGTGCTGAAAGAAACATACATTCGACGGCGCTGATTCATACATTCTGAGGGCTGGGTACATATTCACAACAAAACGACATATCTCCAAAGCTATCATACATCTCCATAATGAATACAGACGTGACAGCGCATTAGGGCGCATTCAACGAGATCTGCGGGGTTCCAACCAAGTCAGACGCCGTCCGGCCCACTTGATAATATCGACTCGCTCACCTTCAAAAAGCCCTCATAGTTGAGCTGAATCCAGCCGTCATTGTCTTGATCCGCCCTGAATGATCATCAAGAACTGGGTGTCATGGATAAAATTGTCCAAGGCGTACCTTTGGAATGTTTCGGTCAAAGTCTTGACGGTCACACACGCTCTCACGAAGCGGTCGAAAGTAATACCCGGAGGGGGGCCATATGCACTAGGCGCACCAGATGCTATCAAACAATTTAGACTCTCGGCTGCGGAAAAGGGTTTCACAGTACCGTATCTGATTTCCAGTGCTTGCAACAAGGGAGGAGATAGGTTGTAACCAAAGCTGCGGAGAGCCTCCGAAAGCTCATGTCCTTCGATAGAGCCAGAATGATCTCTATCAAAGTGCTTGAAGACTCGCTGCCACTCGGCAATATATTTCCATAACCCAGCGAATTCTGCACAGGAACGGCCGCCGTCAGTGATAGTTCAAAATTTTCAATATGTCACCTACCATTGAAGCCGATTGTTCCACTTCGATCGGTATCCTGCGGGGTGTCAGATGTCATGTCCATTTCTTACGGAGTGAGGTCATGCATACAAAGATGTCCATGAGCATCTTCACCGTATCGAGATCAAACTCTAAGGATGTTTTCAGCACCTAGTTACAGTGGGTCCAGGGAAAAAAAGAGCCCAGTCTGGACATCAGCGGGATCGCTCAATGTCCAGCCAGAAATCGCGATACAGCAGATGTCGCAATAGGTCGCCATGACGTCAACAAGGGGTGTGCTTACTTGTGAAATTTCCTAGAAAAGCACAGCAGTTTCAGCACGACCGCCCACATGATTGCAGCATCGCTTACCGTTTACCAAGGCATCTTGAAGTTCTGTGACGCTGAGAGAGCCGGATCTATCAGTATCAACAGCGCAGAACCACTGCCAGAGCTGAGGATCAGAACCGGCGGGAGGGCCATAATGTTGATGTTGATGACCGTACGTAGGCCTGGGTCGGGAAGTAGTACTAGGGTATCGGCTGACGTTTGGTGCATAGGTACTGGTAGGGTTAGGGGTATAGTAAGACATCTCAGGCTAGACCTCTCGTCGACGATGACGGTCAAGAGAAGAGGTACACGTCGTCGGATAAGCCACAGCAAGCTTGTGACTCTGACAGGCCAAGTGGCTGTGTCAAGGCGCTCAAAATGACTTCCCATTGTTTTTAAATAAGTGGTTGAAGATGCTTTTTGAGTCAGTGGGGGAAATACAACGGTCTTGACGGAGGTGTGTCAACCACCCAGGAACTCACTATCATGGTCTACGAGTCACTTGTTATAGGGATTCCTCAAATCGGTGAAAAACACCGCGGAGCCCGAGACATCTCGACCTGTGGCATTGAAGAACACCTCAAACAAGCCAAGTGACGGTAATTTTGACCGTAAAGCTGCTAAGTCAAGGTAAAGTTCACATGAACGAATGCCATCTCATGTCAAGGCGGGGGAACTATGATTCTCCCGTGAAGGTTCTAGCCAGGTGAGCGTTATGCGACTCAAGTTGGGCTAGGCCGTTTGATTTCGGGTCACTTATCGGATACATTTGACAGGGAGCCTAGCCAGTATTGTACGCTCCTAGTTATCTGACATGGAATGTGCATGATAGAAGTCGGGTCGAATCGGAGAGAGGCGCACATACCACCCCCAATAGATTACGTTCCGTTCGAACCAGAACCTTTGACGATATGCCCAGACTAGGGCAGAATCCACTTACATGCGCGCAGATCAAAGCCGCCTGAGTGGAGTCTAGGGCGTGTCCAGATATCGGAGTCCCAAGCGCGAATATCCTGACGCCTTGATACTTGACAGCGGGGATCTTTTACACAACACAACAAGGAACAGTCCGCTGCGCAGTCCCAAACTCTCCAGAGAGAGGGAAGCAGCATCATGGCCCGACGAAGATCCGAAGCTAGGAGGTTTCTGCTTCCCTCCGGAAGACTTTTATAATTGTACCAGTCGCAAAAGTACTGAGCAGACAATGCTGTGCTGCCGTCCATGCGACGGCATGCAAGAGAACCGTATCCGCATCGGGGCCTGTGGTAGTCGCGCTGCCAGTGGGTCATCCACCAAACAAGGAGCGCGCAGCCTAGAATTTAGAACCACGCAGTGGCGCAGTGGAAAAAAAAACCCACGGCATTCAGATGTAACATGCATGCACAAGGGCGTCTGTCCTTGAAAGATCGAAGTTCGGAGATAGGAGTCCGTTTCGTAATGCTTAACGTTTCAAGTTGATCAGAAGCCCATGAAATCTTTGTATGACCTTGGCAATGGTATATTGCATGCATGTTCCAGTTCTCCCGTTCTTGAAGGAGACTTGATCTAATTTCCTGCTTGTGATAACAATTTGAAACTTTGGACATCGTTATAGCGCGCCATGGTACAGAATGCCTGGGGCTTTTGCAACAGTCGGCGGTGGTATACAAAGTTGCTACTCGCCCATAAATAGTGGCGCCGTGGTGATTCCCTGGCATAACACAAGGTTTTTCCCTGTCATCCGACCCTGGAAAGCGCATTCGACATGAGGACAGGAGCTCATATCCCTAGATATTAGCCAAGAACAACTGATGTGCGGGCGGGATGATATCACCAACCTTATGGCAAGGCTTCGAAGCTCCATGGGGTAGAGGAAGAACTCAAGAATGAACACGGTTAGATACGTATCCGCAGGTGGTTCCTTTGTTGGGGCAAATGGAAGTCGCTTGCGGGATTAATGTGTCGGAGACTTTGAGTGTCCAAATCTAACAGTTACCGGCCGCCATGATGCACCATTTACATTTTTTTTCCTTCCTTTCCTCTCTGTCAATATGAAATAACCGCCATATGTGATGAGCGACTTTTTTTGGATTAGTACAAAGGAAGACTTGGTCGCTTTTTGTCCTTGTCCTTTCCACCAACCAGACGCGCTCCGCTTCAGTGCCTTTAAGCTCCAAGTGGAAGGTTTGTGGCGCGAGATTGGAGACTCCACAAATGTATTCGCCATGCTCCCGGATCGACCATGCATTCCTATGACATAAAAAAAATTGCGGAACTCCCTCACGATATATTGAGGATGACTTACATCTAGAGAGAGAAAACATTTTTGAAGACATTGACAAGGGGATCTACGGGCATCGTGTTGGTGCACAAGGTTTGTTTATTCAAGGCGCGTCGTCAACAGTGCGCCGCTTCTCTTATTTCAGGACCGCCGTTGATCGGAGCCACCGAGCTGCTTCTAGCACGGAAAGATGTTAAGATGACTTCTTGAGCAATTGAATTGAATTTACACACAATTAGCCCTGCAGTATATCACCGACATATCTCCTCAAGATAGTCTTATGACGTATTCATCATATACAATGTCATTAGAACCACCGATTTACATTTTCTGATTCAAAGGCCAGTGCATAATGATAATATACATCTATGATAATGAATGTTGTGGCAATATTACTGTGAAAGAGTCACTACGTACGCAAGTTGGGGTATAAACAAAAATCTAATACAATGCAAGAATCTATCCAGTCAAATGATAAAGCGGTAATATATGGCTATGAAATGAACGTGAAGATGATGGATGCCTGAAAGTAGTTCCATTGTGATCAGAACTTAGAAATAATGAATCAAGATGACGATGCGATAACATGCGACGCAATGATAGAACGTACATATCATATCGATGGTTTAATGATAGAACGTTTGACAGTCTGGTCCAGTGAAGATCACACTGGGGTCGAGATAGCCACTCCCAGGGCCAACCTGATGTTGGTACTGCGATGACCATGCATGAGCACCACCCACAACGCCGGGGCCGCTCGTGCTGTCGACAGAAAATGAGAATGGATCCATATCAGTCACCCCGTTGTAGAATGAATCATTCTCCGTTTTCAGCGTGTGCTGGATAGGAGGGAGATGTTTTAGTGATGACAGTGTGTGGGGAGAAGAATCGGGTGGCGAGACGCTGCGGTTCGTGGTGGCGTTACTCGTCATCGAACCCGACGTCGTAGGTGGTGTATAAGTGCTCCAGCTGCCACTACCATCATCCGTGACGGCAGTGTTGGGCGCACTCTCGACCGGAGAGAACGCGAGTGACAGCGGCGGGAGATGAGGACGAGACTGTCCAGCGGCCGAGACAAGCGAGAGCGAACGGGGCGTCGGTCCCTGACCGCGGACGGGCGTCGGCAACGTCGGTTTGTTAATCATATAAGGAGAATGGTCCTGCGAACGTTGTCCAGAGTGATAAGCCTGAGCACGTTTATCCTCAAGATAATCACGCTGACGGTTGCGTTCTCGACGGCGCTCATCATCGCGGATGACCCGTGCCTCCCAAACCATGCGAACAGTCTTCTCTCGCTCCTGACTATTGGCGTAGATCCAGCCAATCTCTCCCAGCGCGCGGAGACACACGTCAACACCGTCTTCGGCGTCGACGTCCCAAGCTAGTCCATCGTCGCCTTTCAAATCACTGTCTGCGTCCTGATCAATGTCACCTTGGGCAAGCAGGAACGCAGCAAAGAAGCATCCGTCTCGGATGAGGCCAGCATCATGAGCGAAGAAACCGCTGGAGGGCACAGCAAGGTGCCGCTTCAAGATAGCGATGACGCGGGGAAGGAAGAGGCGGCACCGGCGAGTAGCCTGGTTATGCAGGCGGCAAAGGGCACGGTCGGCAGGAGGGGAGTGACCGTGTGAGTCGGGGCTGCCCTTGGTCTGCATAACGATGCGCTGTTTCAAGGCTTCCCGGATGATGTTCAAGCACTCAAAGATGAACACTTGCCATCCGCTAACGAAACGCTCGACGTCCTCTCCACGAACAAGGCCGCCACCCACAGTTCCGATACCGCCTGCTCCACGACGGAGAGACTCGAAATCCTCCCAGCATCGCTCTAGGCCATCCCAAATTTCCACGAGGGAGTCTTCGCGGATGGCAACACCGGCATCGGTGCGACGACGCGCACGAGGGCCAGTAAGCACTGCGTGGACGGCACGACATACACCGGACACGGCAAGGGCAAGCGAAAAATAATGGGAAGAGAGAAGGTAAGAAAGCGATGCGCGGGAGTGGCCACGAGGGTCTTGCAAGGAATTGACAGGGAAATCGGACAGCACTGGAGAAGTGGCAGCGGGGGAGGAGTGCGACGAAACAGACGCGGAGGAAGGAGCGCTGCTAGATGCAGATGCACAGTATTGAGGGGGGAGCGAGCTTTGGAACGCAACAAGGTCATCCTCGTCACTGGTAAAATCAGAAGATGTCACTCGAGGAGAGCATTGCACATACAGATATAGTCGACCACCGCGCAAGGCAGTGCGGACACCTTCGTGTACGTAAGCGTACCAGAAAACTCTGGCTCGGACAAGTGCATCGCAATAATGTCCTTGGCCACTACTTGTCACGGGAGGACCGGACAAACTACAGAGAGAGTAAATTTGGGAAAGCGTTGCCTCGTACATAGTCTGATAAGGACAATCTGTCAATATGATTGCATAGCATCAATTGAGCGCTGGAACTTACACCCCTGTCCATCGAACTTTGGATACCTGGCAACGAGCGCATCAGCTGAGGGAACGCCCCGGAAGGAATAGAGTTGCATACCCTGAGTTAATGGGTGGATGAGCAAGAGGACCCTGACACCATCCCAAGTCGGGCGTCGGAGCAGAGCATGAATATCGATGAGATTTAGGAGCTCCCTGATCATTGTCTCTACACGAAGAGCACGAGCGCGACGACTAGGATCGGAGAATTCGTCATCGTCATCTGGGGAGAACTTGGGCCCGTCGGCCATAGTCGGTGAATGGGGTTCTACTTCTTCCTCGACACCGTACTCATTTACGCCAAATGAGGCAGCCCATGTGACAAGTAACATCGCAATCATCTGACCCTCGATACTGAGAGTGGAAGTGCCCTTAATGTGAGCAAAGTATCTTGACGTGAATTCGGTGGGTTCGATAATAGGACCTAGAAAAGCAAATGGGTACGTGATAACTATGAGCGCCAAATGAATTCTTACGTTGGATACTGAATCTGCGGAAGAAGGATGAGCTAAGGAATTCCAGCTTCAGCTGGGGAATGGTGGTTTGTCTCGTTGCGGCGATCCCCGCGGAGAGCGTGGTTGGGATGGTGGGGTTTGATCCTGTGGGCATCGCAGAAGAGGTATTCGATTCGTCATCGGTAACTTTACCGTAGACAGCCCTAAATTCATTTAACCAAGCGTCTGAGGAAGGGATGATAAGACGCACTCGACTTGTTGTAGACGACGTCCGCGTCTTAGAAGTTTTACAGCTTTGACTTCAGCAAACTCATCGCTAAAGGAAACATGTTAAATGGTAGGACTGAGAATGTGAAGGCTACATACACGCATTTGATGCCACGTTCTTTGCAGTTTGAGCATGAGGGCTGCTGGGCAGCACCGGACATCTGAGTGACGGGGAGATCTTTCAAGTCGCATCGAACTCTGCAAGGCTTGATATGAATATATATCCAGGAGAACTAGGGTGAGGACACACCTTCGCATGCGGCAAGCACCGCAAGCAGAGAACTGTTGCCTGGAAGACTTTGGTTGACCAGCAGCTCGTCGTGGATATGGAGCACTGGCTGATGATGGAGTCCTTGGGGTTGATGAAGAGGCTCGTGGAGACATTGTTTGTGAGAGTGGAAGAAGGAGGAAATGATAAAGTGTGGAGGATAAGTGTTGTGTAATTTATAATAAGGTCGGAGAAAGGCCGATATGATGATGTGAAGTAAAGGCAAGATTAATATTGTTTGTTTGACATCGATATGCGGAAGTTCGATTGGCAGTTCAGACGGGAAACACGGGTCTAAAATGGCATAGCTAAAAGACACGAGAAAAGCGGATGTCGTAAGTCGAAGTCGATCTTTCGGGAAGACTAGATTTGGGGGTTTGCCCGTTTACCTTCGCTTGATTGATGGCTGTTGTTTTTCCGGGGACCTGCGAGCGCAAACTCTCTCGTGATGCTATCAGGCGATTACACGCACGAGGAGATGTGCCATCTGTAGCAATTAACGTTGAGGGGCACAGGCGGCTACAACGTTTTCATTGTCCTGGTAAGAGCTGTGCTGCGATTGTCCCCACCAATCGGATATCAGACCGTCCTAACGAAACCAACACCCGCCCAGTGAATAACTCCGAACAGAGGTGACATACTCACTCAACTTTGCATTCGGCGACCTGCGAGCGCTGACAGACACATTGATAGGCTCGGTCTTGGCCACTTTGCCGCCTTCGAAGGTCTCGACTCTTGCTGTCAATAACTTGTCCAAATTCGAATTCCGACATGCCGGCTTTAATTAACTCAGATCTTATGATTATTGGTTCCGTATGATGCGGCATGCTATGTTTTTCCATCATGGAATGTCAGAAAAAAAAACTCATGACTCAAGCCACGCCAGGGACTCTTTTCTTTAAATGCAATCAACGCCCAAGTCGTAAGCCTTGATACGCTCAAGTCGTAGGTACCATACTTGGCAGGCATGATTCAATATTCGCCACATATTGAGGACCATGAGCGGCCACCTCCTGCCGTCATATTAATCCACCGGGGATATCTTGACTCAAAGTACTAGTGATTTGCATTGTGATATCACCCCTGACCCTGCTGGTTAAAAATTCATTCAACAAAACAGCATGTGCTACATACTAGTCGCATACGTATAAACACTCGAACCAAGTCCCCCATTCGGGAACACACAGCCTTGGAGTGTTTGAGAAGTGCCGGTGTGACCGCACAATGACATACATATGTCACGACATATGTCACATCTTAATATCGGATCCGGTGAACTCACCTTCACCGGTCCTCTCCGGGCGCTCAATGAGCCGCCCAACAACTTGTTCAACACATTCTATCCTACGATAACAGTCAGGAGAATGTCTCTACTCCGCCTGCTTTTCCCACTGCCCTTTTGAGTTCTCCCACAGTCTTTTGTTCAGGATTAAGACGGCGATCTCTCGCCATACTATCATAGTCATCACCATATTTTTGGATCAAACGTGCCAGGTATGATCTTTCTCCACATGACGAGTGTCGCGGCACTGTCCTGCCCGAGGCCGACAGTTTCTCCAACTCTGTTATTTCAAACAGAAGTGACTAGTCAGTAATCGAAAAACTCCGTATGAACCGTATACAAGCGCTGGTGCCGTAGACACCATAAAAATAACTCTAAAGAACTCATCTTTAGAAATAACGAAAACGGTAGGTCGATGTCCTCTCTAATTGAGATCATTTGACATCATACCAATATCATGGAAAAACGCCAGAAGGCATCCAACCGCAAACCACTAGAACATTCATTTTAACGGCGTCACTCACCAACAACCGCATGTCTTCCCCCCACGGACGATACTTGTGCGTTATTTTGATCATTTATTTTATCAAGACAACCGACCCAATCATGCATAGTTTTCTCATCTACCTCCACTTCTGGGAGCTCGCTGTTTGGTACGCAGTCTTGCATCTCCTCGGATTCAGGAAGGTCGATCCGTATCACATTACCAAATTCGTCTCGAATAATCCTTCCAAACCCTCTGGGGATATTCGAAGGGCCAGCTTCAACTGGTTTGACAATACCAGAGACCGACCCTGTACTAGCTGAACCTTTTGGAGGGATTAATGTCCGCTCCGATCCACCTGATTGCGTGGGGGTCAAAGCGACCTGAAGGCCCAGCGCAGCATAACTGTAGGAGAATTGTATTAAATCGACTGGTCAAAGAATGATAAAATGATGCTGAGCCGCGGAGTTGATGGTAATCTCGCGGAGAGTTCTGTTCGGACAGCAACCCATGTGTGATAACCTGCATACCGAAAGAGCGAATCATCTTTCAGTCGCCAAAGTCCGGCGATCGGCAACAAAGGCCGTATCACCGTAAGATGATACCCAAGCGCTCCCAGTTCAAGAGCAATAACAGGTTGAAACCAATGCAACTCACTTTTGGTGAAGTGTCTTTGATTTATCCCAAGCGTCCTGCAAGGCTTTTGGACCTCGTATCACTAAAAATACAATATGTGAGCTAGGTACTTTCGCATGTACATCTCAAACACCAATCAAGTATAACCATAATGTAAGACGACTCAGACACAACAAACAAGGGAGTCGAGACTCCAACAAATGAGTGCGAGCACTCATGTATCAAATAGCAACAGAATCAGAAGCTCACCTGGCATCTTCTTCAGGATCTTTTGTGCACGCCGTGAATGGGATACGGCCTTGTGCGTGGATGATTTGGCTTTACGACGCTGCCGTGGATTAGCCATAAGTGATAGTGATCTTGCAAGTCGGTAGCGATGGGATACACAAAATGAACGATCTGAATGGACAGAGACGGAATCTTCACAGTACCCCCGAAGCTGTTGCACAACGCACACGGAGTCAAGAAAGCAAAAGGTGTTTTCAAACTCCGACTGACGCGTTGAAGTAATGGTAATACCACAGATAGCCCTACCAAGTGTAAATTTGCGAGTTGGAAACAGACAAATGGCATGGTTCCGTTCTGATGAGTATGGTCTACGTTGACGTCTACGTTTCGCTGGAAACCTGCATCTGCCAAAAACCATTCATGGCCATTACATATGTCGACCGAGAGCTTACCGCCGGGATTATTATGAACCGGTGACTTTTGTGTGTTATATAGATGCCGTGACTTCGCTGATTCATAACTGTCGTCCGACTCTATTCGGTTCGACCAAGCTTCGTGTGCGGCAGCGGTCACAGTCGGTGACCCTTTGCATTTCATAGGAGCCGCCGGGTTCGTTTAACCGATGTCTTCTCCTCATCTGAAGGCCATTGTTTTCGATGTACGTCCCGATAATGCCGACGCGAACAACGCCTACGGTGCCGCACGTCTGTCATTCGTCATAGTTGCTAATGGCCCTCGGGTGACTTTGTCCCCTTTTTGCAGATTGGCGGAGTCGTCTGCCATAGCCCGTTCATAGCAATCGCTGAGTATGAGTCGGAGAAAGGCCTGCCTAAGGATTATCTGAATGTCTCGATGTCTGTTACCATTGTTAATCTCTGCTTTGCCTTTCTAATTGTTGTTGTTCGCGGGCAGAACTTCCCGAGGTGCTGGTGGTGCCTGGCAGAAGTTCGAACGTGGAGAGCTATCGCTCTTCTCATTTTACAAAGATTTTGGACGTGACCTGTCAGACACGAGAAATGGCAACAAATGGTACACGGAATATTGTGCTCGCAAAAATATAGGTATGGTTCCATACACTCGTACGTTTTTTGGGTAATCATTTTTAATATCTGTCGGAATCAGGGTGCCCCACTTTACCTGCGATGCTTGATATTGACGGCCGTGAGGTCAGTGTTGGAAACGCCTGATGAGCCGCTGCTCCGCTCAATCCCGCCAACACCACAAGCTTTTTGGTAGGATGATGCGACAAGCTACAACTTTTGATGACCACATCCTGCGAGCCATTCACCGTATAAGAGGTGATTCTGTTGCGTCACAATGCACTCCAAATATACTCAGCGCCTGGTGATAGCGACCGGAAAATGGCTTATCATCGCACTTACTAATAATTTCTCGAAGCAAACCACGAACCATCCTTCCGAGTCTTCGACACCCCTGACTGCAGGCCAACAACCCCCTATGCGAGTTCCCGACTCGGAGTTGCGGTTCTTGGGATTGGAAGATGGGGCAAAGTTTCATCTCCGCGCGTTATTCGACGACTTCTGTGATTCCAGCGAGTTAGGCATGCGGTACGTCAGTAACAACTTCGACTGAGACTATCCGCAATAGTGGTGTTGCTTATACTTGATTTAATAACATCGACAGGAAACCAGATCCCGAGTTTTATCTCCTTGCATGTCGCCGAAATGGCATTCGCCCCGGAGAAGCCGTCTTCCTTGATGATATAGGAATGTAAGGACTGCTCCTATCGCGTTCCTAGTGGAGTGTTCCTACTTTTGATTGTCATTAGGAACTTGAAGGCCGCTCGAGTTCTTGGCATGGAGACTATTCGTAAGTCGCTCATTAAAAGTATATGTGATCGACACATGCGTCTGCGGCTGCTTTATCTTTGGCAGCTCAGAGACCATGCGGCGCCAACGACAACATTTTGGCAAACTGTCCTGACGAGTCTTCTTTTCAGATGTCCCGATAGGTGGCACTCTTAATGCAGTCAAACAGTTGGAAGGGAAATTAGGCATCGACCTTACTAGTGACCTTGACCATGACAACAACACAACATCTGCTAAACTTTGAAAGTCATAGCTGCAGTTTTGGTGATATCACAAATTGTATTGACGCCTCCGCGGCTATTTGAAACGATCACAAAGTTTGTGTATCTGGGGTGGCCGCAATCTACATTAAATGAAATATTGGTATTCCAAAGGGCGGTATGCATCTATATAATCGCGGACCGTTCAGAACGGCTTGTCGGAAGCAGGTGTTTTGTCCTCGTAGTAATTCCCAAGCTAAAGTTGCATCCAGCGCGCAAGATGTGAGGGAAATTTGAGCAATGAGCGACCAGAACGACGGTACACCGAATAGAATCTCACCACCGGAATGTTTACGAGAAGACCCTTCTTCACCACCGGCGTAACAGACAATAACTGTTTGACGTGTGTCAGAAAAAAAACAAGAGGAAGCAGCACTATCTAGACGCACGAAGAGAGCAGCTGTACCGGCACCCACGCCCCAAATGCCCAACGTCGGTCCCCACCGTTTGGCCAACTAGATGACATCAAAAACAAGCATTAATAAGTGGGACTTGACAAGAAGGAGAATGATACACACGGTGCTGGCAAAGTGAGTTGGCGAGCTCGGTCGGTATGATAAACGGGCCATGGTCTGATAGACAGTGAGGAATAACAAGGTTTGAAGGTGATTGGCACTGCGAACTCGGGCGAGAGCGGAGAATGCAAAAACGCTACCACGTGACTCGACTCAAACACGTTCTAAGTAGTCTCCCCTAACCACCAACCGTGCACTAGGAGGGTACGTTTCAGCAGAGAATGCAATCCCTGCGACGCGCATAACGGCTGCAGCTCCCACAGTGATAACGGCCGTGGGTTCAGACATTCAGATTCTGGACGAATCTGTTTCATCATCAACATTGATGCAACAATCATCCCCCTTGCCTTCTCGTGGCCACATTGATGGAGATCTTGCACGACCGTCAGAAAGTTCCATAATATTAGCGCGTACGCAATGAATCTCCAGTCGACCATTGATACCATCACACCGCGTCGTGAAATAAATATTTAAGAACACAGCTAGCCAATGATTTGCTTCAGGGGGTTTATTTACATAAATTGGGAGATAACCGCATCAAGACGACACGGAACGTTCTTTCACTTGCTACATATCTTTTCTTTTCTTTTCTTTTACGACAGATGATGACTGTGGCTGTGGAGCAGAGCTATCTCAACCCCAGGAACTAGTTTTTAAAATGGGATAGAGCAATAGGCTCTGCAATTGGACTAGCGCAGAAGCATGGTTGCGGAAGGGCCATCGAAATTAGATACCAGAGAATTCACTCAGTGACAAATAGAACAACTCCGCAAAGTAATATACGGCGCCGCAAACCCAGGAATCTATAACCGACATCCGGGCGGAGACCACTTACAGAATAGGCAGGCAGAGGTTCATAGAAACTTGTACCCTGAAACGAGGGGCGCCTTCCAAGGCTCAGAAAACCATCGAAACACGTTGCCGCCTGTTGTCGCGTTCTATTCTTGAATGAACAGAGTTCCCATCATATTTACTGATTCGAGAAAACTCGAAGAGTCTAGCAGGTGCCATGGGAAGTCGTGACATGAAAGACAAACTGCGGTGAGGCACGATGAACCCGCCGAAAGTGTTCCAGCGCGGGGCAAATCAGGCTTTTCTATTCCAGACTTGGCGGCTCCGCTACAACAAGGCTGGCAACTCGACACTGCATCCAGCTGCATCTTGCGCCGTCCGTGTGCTCGATCTTCGTCCGAGCCCACCATATCTCTGGTAAGTTCAGACTCAGACTCTTGAGACGTGTATATCCTGTGAATAGACAAGTGCCAATCAGAGTGTATTAATATGGCGGTGAAGCGGAGATGAAGTCCTGATAAAGATTGGTCGCACCATGTCAAACCGTCTTCCAGGAAAGCCAGTGGTAACGTGAACGAATTCAATTGCATTTGAGCGCGGGAGTTCAATTGGCAGGGCTGGGCAAGGATGGTCAAGACCTTCCCTCATAGACTTACCTTGTAGGATGTGCCTCGACCACGCCGCGTGCTGCTTTACGTTCTGATTGACCGATGGTCTAGAGGATGAAATCCACAGCTGTGGGATGAAACTTGATTGAAACCGCGTGATTCTAATTCTGCCACCTAAACAACAGAGGGAGTGTGAAGGTGTTCACGCGTGCGTTGGGTGGCTGTCATACGACAATAGTACTCTGTAAATGGTTTCATGCGCTCGTCTTCAAGCAAGCTATGACCCATGGGGATGTCAAGATTGATTTATGTATTATCCTGCGGCATGCCGTGTCAATGATAATCGTGTGGAGGTTATCGGAATATGCCGCCATGGAGTTCTCTTGAAGTTTTATATCTGCGGGCAATAGTCTGAATGTCATTCGATGAGGTTACTGGAGCATACGGCTAGCGAGTTCTCTTGGAATTTTGATATTGCCGGGTCACGATCGAACCCATCATCATTACCACATGCTTGTACTGATGGTCGCTCCAAGTTCGCCGCTCGAAGCCACGGGGGAAACTCGAAGACTTTCAGCTAAGTTGGCGTGACACCCAGCGTAATCTAGTAACGCATTTAACCTGTTGTTCCCGAAATGTCCATCACCACTGTTGTATTTTCAATCCTTGTCGACACAACTGTTGAAGGAATGATGCAATGAGAAGTGACGTACCAGACCTGTTGTATACGTGCAATCGCAGAAGCTTCAGCACATCCGTGGCATGATTCACGTTACGATTCATTGATCCCTACATCAGAAATGGTCGGCCCTCGACCCTCGGCCTTTATGTCCATGACACGCCAGAACGAGCACCCTTTTCCTTCATTCTGTGCACCAGCGTAGCATGTCCACCAGTATTTATCCGTCTGACCGTCTTGTCTATTTTTCATGTCTGGACGCAAAATCGTTGGTACATCACAATTACAACGCGGGATGCTTTGCGGCCTGAAGTCTGGTCGATAGAACCGGAAGGTTATATTGATGCGACAATTGGATGGTTCCGGTGGATATTCCAGGCGAGAAGGGTGAGGGAAAAGAGGTCGATACAGGTCAAGCGTGGGTTGAGGAGGAACTGAATGCTTGAAATTTTCCTGAGTGCTGGCGTGCATGACGATTAACTGGAACCAGATTTTAGTCTAACTCTACATTGCGGCGCGGAGACTTACAGAATTATGGGGAAGAGGAATGTTGAACGTTTGTGCCTTCCGTGAGTGGATCTCTTCACTTGGTACGACCTCCCGAAGACGAAAGATTCTCACCGTCCCTGTGAACGGTGTGGTATGACTACACGGGACAGTGGGTTAAAGGCTGCTCACCGAGACTCAGTGAGGCAATAGTTGGGTAAGGTCCTAGATACGTCAAGTGGTCTGAGTGGAATCCAACGCTGTCCTTTGTGCCTTCATAACAATTTGATGCGGCTACATTGGCACGCCACATTTGACCTTCGGAGCCCCTACCTGCCCATTCAAGTGGGAGGCGGGATCGCCTCTGCATCTCCTTGTTGACAATATTTTCTACATACACGCAGGCTTCCTCCATCACATCAGGAAAGACTTCAGGTGAGTCTGTTGGTCGACCATTGTACCTTTAGCACATTAGGTATGTTTCAAGAATATACAACACTCTTTTATCTCACCAATACTGCGCGGCCTCCTGCCATGAATCATTAGACTCCACACCATCTGTCTTTCGAGCATAGAATGATGTGCGGTGAGGGCTCTCAACGACACGATCAAATAGCCACCATTTGTTCCTATTCCAAGATTGCGATAGATCGAGCATGGTGTAGAATAGTTTGCATGCAAGCTCTGGTGGTAATACAGATAGATGCATCGTGCAAGGTGTGTGCTGAGCCACCATTGAGGGATTCGTCAATGTCAGGGGAAGGAGACGCGGTACAGACCGCGCACTCGAGGGTGGTTGGCGTAGAATGGACATCAAGTCTACTTTGGATTTGGTCGGAGAACTGCTGCGTACAGTGGTATCCTTGATGACTGCTTTAACAGGAGAGACACTGGAGTCCTTGAGGTCGCGTTTCTTTCGAGGAGGACTGTCAGAAACCGTGTTCTCGGCTTTTAGATTGCCTGTATTTAACCAGCCCTGCAGATCCACAGAATGATCCTTTCTTTTTTGGGCGCTGCTCACTGGCTTAGAGCTGGTCTCATGGCCAGAATTAAGCAGTTTGGCAGTGGAATGAACATCTCCATCACACGACAAGAGCACGTCGAGAAGGACATCCATTTCTGGCGCTGGAACGGTAAGTAGGCTGCAAACCAATGCGAGCAAAATTTCCGTGTCCTCCATGTCAAAGTAGGAGTTGTCGAAACGTTAAAGTGTGAAGTTTGTGAAACTTTTTCGGTTGTTCCGGACTCCTTAGACTTCAAGTTGAAGTTGTGCACTGCCACCGCCCAGAAGCAGTCAGTAGACTCGGTACCGCCAAGTTGTCGCTAATATGAAGCCTGCCAGTCATGGTGAGTCACTAGATCTTGTCTTGCCTAGCGAACATTGAGAGATGGGCAAAGTCGACACCTCCGTTTCTGGGAAGGAGATTACTCAAACTTTTGTCACACCCAAAGTGACACGGAGCCGAGAGGTGAGCTGCTCACACTGCTAGACTTTCATTTGGACGTCATAATCTACCTTAGTGGAGGCTTTTCTTCAGTCTTGCCATATGTGCAACGATCTTCTACTTGCAGTTTTTCACTGATATCAGCCCCGAATCCTATTCAGTCGACTATGATCCCTGGGCAGGCCTGGCAAGTCACTGTGCCGATGCGCAGCGCATAAATGGTTCAGAATTTCTTCAACGCCAAGAGAACTTGGCGAAGATATTGTATGACAATGGCGCGTCAGCATATGTCGTAGAGCCTGGCGCAAACGCGCAGTACTTTGGCAACATTTCTGAGGCGTCATGGCACCTTTCAGAAAGACCATTACTACTGGTCATATTTCCTACACTGAAGGAGGCCAGCATCGTAGCCAAGATCACTGTCGTTACACCAGCGTTTGAGGAAACGCGCGCCAGACTTTTGCCAGTGCCTGGAATTGATGTTTCGTACATCTCTTGGGCAGAAGACGAAGACCCGTATACCGTCGCGCTGGATGTGCTTTCCACCCTCGAAGGGCCCATCTACGTTGACGGTATGATGAGGTATTTTATTGTCGACGGTCTCCAGAAGGCGGCCCCTGGCGTCCGCGTCATGTCTGCCCCACCCGAAGTCACCCAGCTCAGGGCGCGCAAATCTCCAGCAGAACTGGACCTTCTGAGATGTGCGAACGAGGTCAGCGGATGTGTTCGCGTTTGAATGTGACTAGCTCACCGCAGTCATCAAGGTCACCGTTCTTTGTATCCGGGCCGTACAAGCTCAGATGTACATCGGGATCCGGGAGTCACAAGTTCTAGCGATGGTGGATGAGTCGCTCGCTGTTGCTGGTCTGACGGAAAGATGGGCATTAGTACTTTTTGGCGGTAAGATGTTTTCAAAATTGCCATTCGATTTAAATGTGCCTGTGGATACTGACTTGTTGATCTCGTCTACTGTAGAGAACGCTGCTCTTCCACATGGAAGCGGGAGCGACCGCGTACTGGGCAAAGCGGATCTCATTCTCATAGATACTGGTGGCGTGTTGTTCGAATACAACAGCGATGTTACACGAGTAAGTTGTCAATGATTCTGCCGTGAAAACCATCCGGTTCGCTGAGATTCTGCATAGACATTCATGCTACATGATAGCTCCATTCCACTGGAACACACTACGATCTGGTATGATGTACATACCGCCCAGACCTTGGCGCACGTAGCTGCTCGGGAGGGTGTGAATACATCTGCTGTAGACAAGGTAGCGCGTGATTGGCTTGACGGGCGCGGGTACCACGGATACTTCACTCATAGACTGGGTCACGGTGAGTACTAAGTAACGCACAGACTTGTAGTCTTGGAACTGAGCGTTTGAAGGAATTGGACTTGAAGATCATGAAGCTCCATACCTCCGCGGAGGAACCGACGATATCATTCAAACGGGGAACGCCTTCTCAAACGAACCAGGTGTATACATTGAAGGCAAGGTACGGCAATTCGAATATTTGCACTATGGGGCCACGGAGGCTCCTGTCTGATTAGATCGATGTTGACGGTAATGAACAGGTCGGTATTCGCCTCGAAGACTGCTTCTACATCAACGAAGACGGAAATCCTGTATTCCTGACTAAGGGGATTGGGGGACAAGCGCGGAGCCCGCTTTATCCTTGAACCTTTGCGTCCATCAGGTGGGGTTAACGGAGATAGCAATTTATGGAACCGATGTGTAAGCGAAGGAGTGCACACTATCGCGGGAAGGGTTAGTCAATGCGCAGGTACAAGGTAGTGTATATAATAAGCCCTTGGTCGGATATGAAGACTGACAGATGTCATTGTAAAGATTAGAGGGTCCCGAAGTGGAATCAAATGGAAGCAGGAGAATACATTTCTTTCGTGATACTTTCGCAGACTATCCCAAGCTGAGTTTTACAGTTCACCGACTTTCACCGATCGTCTGCTCTACACTGCTCTGCAATAGACTATACCCTTCCACAATGCGATCGGAAAGTTCCTCCTGTGTGCCTCAACAGATAACTTACATGGTATGGCTAAAGACGTCTATTATTAGCGAGATCTTGTCTCGCATGGCGGAATCATTCTTGACCTTCAAGTCTTTTGATTGTACTGCACTCGGCCGACTATTGCAGCGACTCTTCTACATAATACAGGCACGACTGTATGGGGGGCCCCTTGACATCCACCAAAGCCCACTCTTCATAGATTCTGTCCGTGAATAAATATTATTATTGTCAACATCACCCGGAAGCAAGGAGAATAACATTGCGTGATATACATATTCAAGTTGTAAGGACGGCACCTTAAAAGTATCCGCGGGTGGTAGCATGCGCAACAGCCACTGCAGATTTCTCCTCCACGACCGTGACATGCTGTTTCAACACACCCTCATCACACCAACGACTTATCGTGCACAGATCTTGGTATCGAATAAATTTAACAAATTCAGAATATCTCTAACGTCTGATCTTCCCATTAGATCCAGAATCTGGATTGTCCACTAGTGCGAGCGTTTGATAATACATGATATGAGCTTGTTTTTGGTATGTAAGCCCGAAGAGGTTCTCATCACTGCAAATTAGCTGCAGTATGTATCCGTCATTATCACGGGACGTCGGCGGCGTACATGAAAGATGAGCAATTGAAAGGAAGTGGAAGACTAGTGCAGGTAATTACAATGGGCACGAAGCGGCAATTTGTTTATTTCTACAACACAACATTTCTAGTATCATAATACGGAGGCTATCAATCCAATACATAAATCAACAGGAATTCGAACAGAATACAATACAATTGTACCGTTTGATGAGGAGTTCCTTCCTAGAAGGCAAAGACGCAGCATCGGGTAACATATGAGAAGCGTATATCGCAAGAGGAGACAAACTTGGATGTGGTCCTTCGTGATATGCATAAGCAACATAGCGATGAAGGTATGCGAAGCGAAAGAACCAGAGCAGGGACATCAACATGGAATTAGTAAAACAAAATAGAGTATTATGTAGTGCGGTGGAAGAATAGACCAACAAGTCAAAAGTGGTATATGTAGTGTAATGGGAGAATTGGTCTAAAGCTGAGTACCAGCTCGTAGACAAGAAACCTAGCTCAAAGTATTCAAGGACATACCAGATATAAGAGAGTAGTGACAGGACGATGAGACGAGGTACTGCAATAAACACCAGAGGTTCAGTAAACCTTGACTAACTCATCAGGGGTTGGGATAGGAAGCGGGACAGCTGCAGGAGACATCGGCGTTGCCGGAGTGATTGGAGGGGATGGTTGGGAGAAATTCGAGATGCCACAGAGGGCGATATCATAAGAAGGGTGGCGTAAAAATGGATTGCGTGCGCGAGATATTGGAGATGCTACGCGAAGAATACTGATAAGCGGATTTTGAGTGAAGTTCGATTGGCGCTTACAGAGAGAGTTAGCGATATTCCACCTTTGGGTATCGAAGTCTTGAATTTCAAGGTTCTCAAGCTCGTCTCGCTCGTAAAGAGTTTGAGGAGAGCGTGCACGAGAGACCCATTCATTCTCCTCGGTAAATGTGATGCTGGAGAGATCACCCTTAGTGTGGATAATATCCACTCTACTCCTGGACCTGTATGGGAGGCCAAAGGTAGGCAACGATACAGCACCGTTGCGACGTGACCGCAATACAGGAGAGGATGGACATTTCCACCCCATGCAGATTGATAGAAACTCCTCGAGCGCTTCTGATGGAAGGCTGGTCCTGAAGCAGGGGAGTCAATGAGATATAAAAAGTGATGAAACGAGATGGGGTGATAAGCCAAGGCCGATAACTTTGTGCTCAGTAGACACACGCGGCCATGATTAAACGTGAAATAGGTACATACCGAGGCGATGCTCGCGGAGAGGAGAGATCCTTATCGGACGAAACTGAGGAGTCAACACGGGTAGGCTGCTTGTGGTCGTCAATATTTTCAGTGTCGTCGGACAGTTTTAGATTATCAACTTGAGAAGTGACAAGTTTGAAGTGTGTAGAACGAGCAAGGTGCGGGTAAGCACTGGTGATTCGAACTGGTCGAGGAGCGACGAGAAGAGGATTATCATTGACATTAAAATTCATGGCTGATAAGAGACTGGGGTGAGCAAGTTAAAAGCAAGTAAGAGTAGATATAAAGCAGAGGAGATGAATGTAGTGGATGATGAAGGCAACTAGGAAACAATTGGGAAGAACACCTATCACAACGAGCTCCTTGTTTGTGTATGTTATTATCATCCCAGCCACCGGCATCAACCGATTCTCACGTGTGCTCAAGGTAGCCTCACGTGACAAAGTATACAAAGCGTGACAAAACTACAGACAAAGACGTTTGATGTTATACGCGTGTGTAGCATATTTTAGGCAGTCACTCTACTGGCGTGGTCGGTTTTGTATGAGCCCTACCTTAGTAGAGTAACGAGCGTTCATTTCAGTGCATTTGCAGAGATATGGTGTCCAACAAAAAGTCGGTAAAAGCTCGGAGAAATAGCACTATGTGGTCGTATTTGGTGTATTACTATCAGATTGTAACGTAGAGTCCGACTGTCTTCTACTATCCTCTGCAGCCTTGTTCCTTTGTTGGGCCATCAATGCATCAAGGTGTGTATATCGTACATGTCACAGGGAGGTCGTATGACAACTAGAAGGTGCAGACCGTGCCCAAAATACACTATGTGCCTTGGGTAAGTTGCGAAATTAACCTACATGATGTAAATCGGGGATCATCGGGCCAGTGTTCATAATCACATTGCAGACAATGCTCTCCTCTAGAGCTAGCAGATATTTGACATACATGTCCAACATGTAGATGTCATGCCACTCCGTGTGAGGTTTTTATGCGGATTACATTTTTGAACCAAGTCATCCCAGGACCACCCTTTCAAAACCCCTTCTGGATCTGAGGATTTTAAGAGGGGGCTGCCAATGGACAAGACACGTAAATTGTGTTTTTATCAACTGATGGAAAGATGTCCACAGAATTCTCGCCACCTGTTTGGCATCCTCGCATAAATACCATCTTCCTCCAATTGAATTCCCTCGCCTTTGTCATCGTTTTCAACCATGCCTCCTGCCAACGACACGACCAATTATGATGAGACATGTCCACTCCTCCGCACTTCCAATCCTCACACCACCGAAGCTCAAATTGCTGAGAAACCCAAGCCCACTCCTTTACCCAAGGGTCAACTCGCTGCACTCTGTGTAGTTCGTCTAGTCGATCCCATAGCGTTCACCCAGGTCTTTCCATACGTCAACGAATTCATGAGCGATCTCCATCTTACAGATGACCCTTCGAAAATAGGCTTTTACAGCGGCTTGGTTGTATGTCTTATACTTCGGTTTCATCATCTGATCGCTATTCGAACTGATCATAATCAGGAGAGCATATTTGCTATATCTCAACTGTGTTCAATCTACCATTGGGCTAAGATATCAGGTACTTCTAACGCTGTGGCATTCTATCTGTCTTTCCTCACACCTTGTTCCAGATGTTATTGGACGACGCCCTGTGATATTTTTGGGCATTATTGGCCTTACCATGTCCACCCTGATGTTTGGTTTGTCCAAATCGCTGGCCAGTGTCTTGCTGGTGCGTTGCTTAGGTGGGAACATTCTATATCTCTCTGGCTCTGTACTAAGTTCTAATTCTGTAGGGGGACTATTTTCGGGAAACATCGCTGTCATTCATTCGGTTTTGGGAGAAATTACCGATTCCACAAACCAGATGGTTGCTTTGCCCATATACGGCCTCACCTGGCCGCTTGGTTCAATCATTGGGTGCGCTCCTTATTTGCACCTAGTTAGGATGTCGATGCTGATCATGCGTACATTCATAGACCACTTATTGGCGGGACGTTCTCTCACCCAGCCTCAAAATATCCCAAGATACTTGGGTACCAGTTCCTTAAGAATTATCCCTATTTCCTGCCATGCTTCATTGCATCCGTGATCGCTATTATTGGTGTTTTCCTTGGATTCCTTTTCCTTGAAGAAGTACGTTCCATCCTTAGGATGTGTGCTATGAGGAGAATCTCATGCCCATCTTAGACTCTCCCCAGTAAGCGCATTTGCAAGAAAAGCGGCTCTTCTACTGCAAGCACCAATGGTGAATGTGCCATAATTGCGCCGGCCCTTCCTGACAAGCCTTTCGGTGTTTCAAAATTATTATCGATACCAATCATATCCGCTTTGGCATTATCTGGCTTCACGCTGAGCTATCTTGCCACATCCTTCGACGTTGTATTTGTCTTGTTCTGCTACTCGCCAATTGAATCCGGCGGTCTGGCATTCTCAGTGAGCTCTATACACTCTGAACAGATGTGGTTAACTGACAACTTGAAAGGCATCGCAAATTGGATACTCCCTTGCTACTGCGGGCGCTATTGCTGCTGCTATCCAGCTTTGCATCATGTCCTACCTGCTTCGAACGTTTGAATCTGCGAAATTGTATAACTTCTGCATGGCTTTATGGCCTTATACCTTCCTCGTCTTGCCCATTTTGAACCTTATCGCTCGTGCTGGCTCGGATGAGACCACCGGCGAACTTGGAACGGCCACTATCGCTTTCCTATGGGTTGGTATCGCTTTCGTCCTCATGTTGACCAAGGTTGCTTCGCTGGCATATTCGTACGTGTCAGTTCATTTTTTGGCTTATCATAGTGGTTGACATGTGATATCTAGCATCAGCATGATTCTGACCAAGGAGAACGCTCCGAATGCCGCATCGCTGGGGCAGTCAAACGGTATAGTTCAATTTGCGATGTGTTTCGCGCGATCGTTCGCTCCCTTTCTGGTCAGGTTTGTGTCTGTCCTCCTTCATGCGCAACATTGCCCTCATGTCCTTCTAGCTCCCTGTTTGCAATTTCCGTTGAGTACAACCTGTTGGGTGGATACCTGTGGGTTGCTATTATGGTAACGGTCTCGTTCCTGGGCACGACGATGTCGCGCAAGATCGAGCAGCACAGTGCTAAGACGATCGGTTGAACGCAGTCTATTTCCAATAGAAGAGCTATCGCAGAGGCAATAAGGAACCACATTCTATATCTCCACAGGCATCATATCACGACACCATCACGGCTATCCGTACTATTTCAATCCTCGTTCATATCCGTATCTTTCGTTACTGTTAGTTACAAGTTCATTTTATCGCTGTTTCTTATAGGGGCACTTCCCATATCGTAAAACAGAAACCGAATATATTCGAGGAGATTCCCTGATTGTGTAACCAAATACATAAACCATAATCGTATATCGACCAGTAAACAATAGATAGATGGATTAAAGGAGGTGCTTAGGCACTTCACCTAAAGCTTACTGGAGCTGCTGTTTGGCTCTCCAAGTGCATACAGGGCCTGCAACTCCGCTGTATATTTCGCATATGCGTCCTTGCGGCGGAGCTTTAGGGTCGGAGTCAAGGTATTATCCTCGATGGAAAACGGATGCAAGCTAATGTGGATACGCTTGATCGTCTCAAATCTGTTGAAGACGGTCAGAACGCTTTGACAAGAGATCCCAAGTCCACCTACCCAGTCAGGCGATTTTTCACCGCCTCTTTGTTTAGAACAGTAAGGACCTGAGCTACGACTCGGGGGTCCTTGATAGCTTTCTCCAGTGCTGGAATGTTATCACCTGTAACCTTCTCGCCGAGAACCGTGGACACTAATGGAGCCAGGGCCTCTGGCTCCGGGACGAGCACAGCCAGCAGGTACGATTGCATAGAATCGCCATGGACAAAGATCTGCTGCACGAGTGGGCATGCCGCATACATGTTCTCGACTTTCTCGAGAGCAACGTATTCGCCTTGTGACAGTTTCATAATATTCTGCGGAATACAAAATGAAGTCAGGGTGTGGGTGATATGAGAGGAAACTGACTTTGACACGGTCAATGATCTTGAATCGACCTTGCGCGTCAACCTCAGCAACATCGCCGGTATGGATCCAACCGTCGTTCAAGGTCTCACGGGTATTTTTCTCGTCTGTCATTATGGTGGGCGCTTAACACCAATACACTCATTCGAATACGACCTCACCCTTGTAATATCTGGAGAAACAATTGGGACCGCGGACACAGAGTTCGCCTCGAGGGTTGGGCTTGTCCTCGGCCGTGTAGTTCATGGAAGTCACGTCGACCAATTTCAATTCGTTCACGGGCTGGGGAGGACCAATGGTTCCTCCACAGTCAGGGTCCGCCTTGATCGTATGTGTACAGACACCACAGTTCTCGGTCATTCCGTAACCTGACCCATCCTTCAGATGGCAATTAACAATCGAAGATGAAGGGACCGTACCTTCTGTAACTTCGCAGAAGAGTGCAATCTTCAGGAAATCGATGACCTCGGCGCTGATAGGTGCAGAGCCAGTGCTAACAAGGAGCAAGTTTCCGCCAAGCACAGCACGAATCTTCGAATGAGACATTGAGTTGTGAATAGGAATGCAAGAGGGTCAATGAAAACATACCTTCCGGAAGACAAGTGCATCCCAGAATGGATGAGTGCTGACACCCGTGGTATGATACTGGTCGAGTTTCGACCGCACAGCTGCCCGGAAGAGAGCGCCCTTCAGTCCAGGGACATTGCCAGCAGCCATGGCAGACTGATAGACTCTGTTCAATACACGAGGTACAGCTGGGAAGAAGTGAGGCTTCAGCATCTGCGCATCCTCAAGGAGACGCAGGGGATCGCCAGTGGAAAATCCGATGCATCCACCGATGGCTATGGTTGTGAGTTCGACAACACGCTGCAAGGACGTTGGTATAGAAGACGAGGTAAGCAAGATACAAACAAACCTCATAGATATGAGCCAACGGCAAGTAAGAGAGAACACTGTTATTTTGAGGATAGTCCATACCAAACATGTTGGAATATGCGGACGATGCGAGATTCCCGTGAGTAAGTATTACACCTGATGAGCAAAAACTTAAGAGTCAGAAGGTCAGCAAATGGATGCCCCGCACCTTTGGGTTGGCTCGTGGTGCCCTGAAGATCCCCAGTTGATAATATTCAAAATGGAATACGAAAGTCACGCACTGAAGTATAGCATAGTGATGCGACAGTGTCGGCTGAAACGGGTAATGTCGGTATCAAGTGCTCTTCACCATACTTTTCAACTACGATGCATGTAAGCAGGTGCTGTAGAAGCCAGGCTGAGATACTCACGATCTGAAAATTCTTTAACCTGCACACCGACGGTCTCCCCCCAAGCCACAAAGGCTTTGTGGGCGTCTGGACTCAAACCGTCAAAGGACACGATCATTTTCAAGACTTTGACTTTAGGAGCTAGTTTCAATAGCGCAGGTATATGATCAGCCGTGGTGAAGATGATGCTAAGATGCGCATGATTGATACTAGACAACCGCAGATGTTAAGGGGTTTAACGAGATAGCGACCGTATCACATACATATATTCTGTGGCGAAGTCATCAGCACGATAGGAGATGGCTCAAAGAAATCTACTTGCCTACAGAATCCTTGCCAAGGGTATCGTAGAGACCAACCCCAACTTTGTTATACGCGTGCAGAGCAAATTCAACAAGTTGCCATTCTGCAGTCAATGATGAGAACTGATCTCGTAGTGAGAAATGACATATATACCTGGCCTGTTCTGTGCCCATATACCAACGGTTTCGAGGTCCTCGCCCTGAAGTTCACCTCGTGAGAATAACCTGTGCAGAGCACTGCCGATGCGACGCCTGCGACCATCCACCTGCTTGTACGTCTGCCACACATAAGGGCCGAATTTGAGCGGATTGGTTGATACTAACGGACGGTGACCGAGGAGTCTAGAGTCCGGATTGATGTTGTAACCGTTGTCAAAAATATCAGGAAGTGTTGGCAGGGCGTTGACGTCCACAAGACCATAAATTGCTGAAATGTGACGAAACAAAATGAGTAATTATAAATTATGTGGTTCTCAATTCCTGTACTAGATAGGACTCACCATTCCGATAGTGGGCTTTGATGAAAGTACTTCGATGTTAATGAAACGTCCGCGGATGAGTATGTGGGACGCACCAGTTTGACCAGGGCGTTTGGTGCCAGGAACAGCGATGGATTGGATATTGTAGTTGACCTTGTCTGGAAAAGCTATGGTCGTTACTGTCATTCTGGGCCAGAAGATGGAAGTTCAGGTTGAACTTGTGACGGTAAAAGGACAAGGTACACGTCAAACCCGTAGGTAGTTGTCGAACGCGGCTACGTAGCAGATTTCACCTGCGACCGGTGACGTAAATGAACCCGAATTACCGGCAAGAGGCGCAGAGTCAGTATCATGATGCAGGGTCCTATGATACTGATTGCATTGGCCCTCATTCAAGTCAACAACTCGTACCACCGTTGGCATCGCGCTCGCTATGCAGATTACCGAATGTATAGTCTAATGTCATGCAGCTTTGAGTGTCGAAAGAAGGATTGACTGATAGACAACAACACGCCACTCGAGAATCACAAGCCTAGGATTCGGACCGCCACAATCCGAATCATGGGAGCTTGAGCTTAGGTTTCTCTCGTAGAAGACAAGTTGAGGCGGCTTATTTGATGCGATGCTTGTCTGTGTTCAAGTTCTATGTCAGACAATTTCGAGCGCTAGTATGTACCGACTTGTTGGAAGTATGTATATAACAGTTATTTCTCGACTCTTTCGCAAATCTGTAAATCCTTAGTTGGTGCCAAGGTAGATGTCTCCGAGTGCGTTAGGCTGGCCACTAGCGCCAAGAAGGTCTGTGGTGACACATAAGTTACGCAACTGGGACACGAGCCGCTGAAAAGAATCCTCTTACTGTAGTAGGAACCTGACTCCTGGCGCTGCAATGATCATAGTACCATCAGCTCATGTTCTGCGGAAGGCGTGCCCGATGATACTTACGTAGAATGCAAACCAGGCATACCCTTCAATCCAATCCAAACCATCCAGATAAGCTATTGCACCGGTGCAGAAGTCTTCCACCTCTACAAACGTAGGAAGTGAGTGCCATCAATAGAAGGTGGAGAGAGCTGCAGAGGGCGCAGATGCGTCCGAGATGATGGATACTCACCGGTAACATTTGAAGAAGTAGATGCAAACTCCGTGACCCACAATGGCGATGAGAATTTCTCATGGAACGACTCGACATAATTTTTAAAATTGTCGAGACCATCACCGTACCAATGAAGAGCTACGAAATCGATCGTGCATCCAGTGCAATTTCCGAAGAATTGAGATAACCAGGGAGTTCCTGATGGGGCATTGGACACAGCGGGGCTACCGAGTCGGACGCCATTTGCCTTCAGAGGTTGGATGTACTGCATCCATGTTGATGCAGCAGCCATAGGTTCAATATTCGACTGTGAACTAAGATCAGGTTCGTTAAAACCCTAGTAGAAGTTCAACTGAGTGAGACGCCTTCTCTCAAATAGAACAACCTACTAAGACGGTCTTCGCTCCTTGAGCCTGCACTGCAGCCATGAAATTCTTGACATTGCCTTCACCCCATTGCATAGGGATATAGGTAATGCCTGTATTTTTCAGATAGTTTGGAGCGGTACTGCCCCAGTCATATACCCAAGAGACCTGGGTATTTTTAGCGACTGTGATGTCGCCAGTATTGTCGGAATCAGCAAACGCGAGACCACGTTTGGCATTGGCAGCAAATGACCCACTCGCCAACGCCAGAGCCACACAAGATATTGTAAAGGTAAAGTTGAACATTCTGGAGAGGTGTGCTTGGCTAGAGGCACCAGTCCCTTCATGACTTCGCTATTTGAGTGTTTTGAGGATGAGAAGGAAGGCACCTATTGCATCTATTTGCAACCCGCGGGCGCGATTCTCGATGCCTTGACGTGCCTTGATTAAGGCCATCCGTGGTGCTCGAGGATAGAAATGGGATGTTTCTTGCCGCGTTGCCTGAGCTCGTCGTGATGACGTATGGCGGGTCGTCCTAAATCGCTGCAAGTAAGACATGTGTACTCATTACAGTTGTGTTTTAGCATGCAATGCATCTTATGGAAGAATATACGCACCTACAACTTGAAAAGAGCCTCGAGGACGTCAGAACAAGGAACAGTCCTCGAAAGCAATGCTGAACTCGTTCAGGGCCCGTGTTCATCGGGCCCAAGTGGGTACACTGCCCCTAAATCGAGTTCTTTTGGGATATCCGAGATTCCACAACTCGCAAATGGGCTTGGCCAAGAAAAGGCTCAACCCCTGCTCCATCTAGAAAATAGTATGCTGAGTAGTAAATCTGAATGTTCTGAATCTATCACTGCTACATCCGTAATTTCTGAATCAATTTTTCCAGTTCAACGAATTGTTTTTGAGCGTTCACCAAGTAGCGTCGGAAAGGAAGTGGTGTCCCCCGCAATCTCGGGGAAGGCCAACCTTGTGAGAGCAGGCTACGCGGCAAATATTAAGCATAGGCAATGTCAAAAATTTGCCGCTATATTCGAGCACCTAAATTGCGACGCACGAGTTCCTTGTGTGTTGAGTTCTCACAAGTTGGTTGCCTGACCGTGCAGAATCGGCGTGTAGCCGAATCAGGAGAAACTCCCCATTTTGCAGAGCCTTGTTGGGTGCTGAGCCCTCGTGTTCAATATATCCGTGCTGGTAGCAGCTAATGTGGGCCACTAGTACGACTAAGTAGTAGCACGAACATAAACATTGAAAAGCTCCATAACATGCACCTACCAGTTCAAATGCTGGATTCCAACGGATCGCGTCGGACAACCTTGTTAAGCACACCCGCTGACTAAGCCAACCCAATGTGCTTTCACAGGCTACCATGATCATGAGGTGACGGACCCACTGCTAGAAACCCAGATGCCAGGCTGTTACACTTACTTTATGGCTTTTGAATCTAGACCAGTTGAGAGACGTCGCGTCGGCACTCGCACGCGCGTGGTTCAGTGTTACGCGAAGTTTATCGAACAGATGCTCACCTTGTCGCAACGTTCGTTAGCCTCTTTTTCCTCTGATGTGTCCTTACAATGATTAATTATCAGTGGCATATTGACAGACCGTTCACGGCGGCTAGCAGTAAGCTCAGGTCAAATTTAATCTCAAGTAGTACCTTTCGTCCAATGCCAAGTCTGACACCTTCCACAGTGGATCAAAGCTAAGGACCTCTCCGACTCTGACTACTGTTCCCTCCACAGTGGCGAAAAGCGAACCTTGTTAATTAAGGTTCGCAGAGCGGTATTTTCATGATTATGCTATCCCCGTCTGTCTGCGTTGAATGATCACATCCATAAGAAGGTATTTTGGTATACATTCGGGCAGCGGTTTCAGGATGATCAATCGTATACACGCTGCGCATTTCAAGTATTTGTTTTTTCCCTTGCGCATTGTCGCTGTTGGCACGCAGATGTGGATGTCCTGAAAGGGAGGGTTCTCAGGCCAAACAGGCTAAGAGTGCAATTCAGTGCTTGTGCTACATCACGAACAATATTGGTCATTATGCTGTTTATTGTTCGCCAACCACACGAGGTGTCGACTTTTGTTTGCGGGTCACTTGGAACATCCATGAATTTACTGACCGATGGGACGCCAATAACTCCCTGCTTGGGCTTTCACCCACGCTGATGGTGAGGTTTTGATCGAGCTGTAAAATGTGTCATGCATTCACTACTTTACAGAGACCCTACTCCTGACATGCTGTTTTTTGAATGGATGTGATCTCAACTACCAACTAGTTCCGCACTTACGAGATCACGTTTGGCACTCTGAGGTTGCCGTATTTGTGTCTATGGGCGCCTTGAGCGAGCCTACATGCATGTGCGTCATAAGCAGCCATCTTATCGTTCGGTATTACCATCGCCATCAACACACCGTATCGTACATACAGACTGTTCAACGCATATTCACTCCGAAGCCTACTTGAACTCTTCACTCCTCATCGTCATCGACTACACCCTCTGCCCGCAGCGCGGCCACTACGGCCTCCGCTTCAACCGGGTGTTCCTTTCCCCACTCGATGTCTCCAATGACAGGATATTCAAGTAATATCTCCTTCTCCGTCTTCTTTGTGAGTTCTGGGCAGTCTATAACTGGCAACTCCACGCCAAACACCTTGTTATAAAATGTATTGTGATTGCCCAATGCGATGCCCAGAAACTCAGTCACGTTTCCAGGAGTCGTTTCAGGTTTGACGTCGGGAAGGATGTGGCTCGGGAGTGGGATGTACACGGTGTGTGATTTGTTGGCACTGGCTTTGAGCAAAAACACGACGAGTTCGACGAGTGGTAAAGTTGGAAGGCCGTATATGGAGGGTATGTTTTTCAAGTTCTGCGCATGTGATAGTAGTCGCTTCGTGCACCACGCCTGTGGTATGATATCGCGAGGGTTGATGATGTTTCTGTTCCAGACTGCGTACCCAGTGTTAGGGGGTGTGCTCGGGGATGGTGGGAAAGTTTTTGCAAAGAGATTCGCAAAGGCCCCATTACCGGGGCTCGCTCCCGCGGTGGGATACACAACCCCCTCCCCTTTCAGGGCACCTGAACTGGCGAGCGCAAGTGCTAACGTAGGAGACAAAGTCCCGCCGAGACTGTGTCCCGTGAACACCACTCTCGTTGACTCCGACGCGAGTATGCCGGTCAGGTATTTATGGAGTGTGAGACCCGCAGAGGCTGAGCCCGGAGGCGAAGGCTCAGTGAGTAGGGTGTGAACAGCAGTGACCGTCCCGTATGCTGCGTATGTCCCTGTCAAGACAATGTCTACTTTGTTCACTGGCACCGGGAGCTCAGTGACTCCGCCTTTCACCCATGCGGGAAAGTCCACTACCCTGCCAACTGCGAGGTTTTCGTACCAGCCATAAGTCGAACTGGCATTTGTCCCAGCGACAGCTACTACGTATGCCTCGCGTGTGCTGCCATCATCGAAGGTGACGCTTGGGCTATATGCGACAAACCATGTGTTGTCGGGCCCAGTATCTGCGTTGTCTGGCTGGGCTTTCCAAATCACCGGTCCCCATACCACTTTCCACTGGCCGTTGATAGCTGAGACGATACCGGGTAACTTGGCCTGCAGGCAGTTTAGGAGAGCGTCATTGTCTCCTTTCGAGGTATAGAGAGCGTTTGAAGCCATGGACAACGCGAAAACTTGTTGGAAGACATCAAAGTCCGAGTTGCCGCTTTGGATTGAAGACATGTTGACTATATCATTAAGTCTGGTGAGTTAGACAACTCAAAGCAGATGGGTGGGACGTACTCGAATTGATGTCAGACAGTTTGGAAAGAAAAGATATGCTGGATAATAAACGTCCAACGAAAGGTGCACTGGACGAGTGAAGGTCTACAGAGGCTGATCAGGGGTATTTATATTGGCCCATGAACCTTGTTCCAACTCAGAGTCGAAACCAGTTCCGAACAAGAGGACTTAATGCTATCCAAATGATATCGATCCGAACAGTGAGTGGCATGTAGAACTTTCGACGTAAGTCGGGTGACCAGCGGTGTCTGATCTCGGGGCTCGACGTTCATACTCCTGGCGGCCTGGGTATGGCATGCATCCCGTTAGAAGTTATTTGATAAACGGCGACTTCCTAGAGTGACATGCCATCAATGAAATCGTTCGAAATAACAGCCTCGATTAGCGTCAGGTGACCGTACTTACTGCCCATTGAGTTCGTCGCCCGTACCACATCCTGCACGATCATGGTAGCTCTCGGCAAAAACCTATTCTTGGTCTGAACAGGGGGAAACACTTATACTGAATGATTTCTTATTCTCTAAGTGATGGTGTTGGGGGGGCTTTTTTGATGCCTGGACTTGAATATGACAATTGAAATGATGGATCTTCATCTCGGTCCTCGGAAGCAAACCAAACCCGAGTTGGAACAGGGGGTTCACAGGGCTGCATTTCCAGTGTCATTGTAGGGCAGACAGGATCAATTTTGCCCGCGATCGGTTACAAGTCCTTCCCCGATGACATATAGACTTTTGGTGATAAGGTGATCAACTCACGTATATAGAAACTGCCCATTTTTGCCATCCGGGTCCGGGAATAACTGTGGGTTCTTTGGAACGTGGTCTCTTCACGAGCCATGGTGTGATATAACCCGAACGAGTTGTGGTCCGGCATGATTAATCGTAGAATCAGAAAGCACATTCTAGAATAAGCTGAAGGAGCTACGCTCTCTCACTTCTCGGCCCTTGCCCCTAATACCCCAAACACCCCAGTTCGTCTTCACCATGACTCTGGGGTCAAAGTCTGCGACCTCCCATTTTTCGCTGCCAAATGCGTTCTCTCCCGGAGTAACCACCCACTCGAACTCACCAGCGACATCTGGTGCAGTCTCAATGGAACGAATATCTCTCTCGACGTCTGCAGGGGAGAAACCTGTTACGAAGATGGGACAACGGGTTGCGAGTAAGGCTGGTATGACAGGGCCCCACTCTGTCGGGGAAGCAATTTGCAAATGGGGCTTGCCATCTAATTCGGATACCGAGTTAGGCGACGGGAAGCCAAAACCGGGGGAGAACAGGAAGAAGGCATCTGTGTAGGGGTCGAAGGTATCCTGAAACTGCGCGTGGACTTCAGCATAGTTCGCTTGCAGGCCAGTAATGGTGAGCTGAGGGGTATAAGGGACAGTGTAAGAGGGAATGCCGTAGAGTTCAACTGATGATCGTGTGCGCTTAAGGCGCACGATAGGTGCTGGTGTCGGAGGGTTATAAACGTTCGGCACATAAACTGGTGTGTCTTCCTCCCGCTGCTTTACAGTGGTGGTGGATGCGTGCGTCGTGGACACATTTTCTGCCGCAGATTTGTTGGTGATTGTATCCTCTTTTGCTACAGATTCATTGGGGGGGTTCGGAGGGGGTGAATTAGCCGGTCTCGGTAAAGAGACTTGTGGTCCAATGAAGAAGAGGTGAAAATGACAAGATGGGAACAACATGCAAAGTTGCTCCCAGGCATGCGGTGGCAAAGAGGACTCAGCGCGAGCGCCGAGGATGAATATGCGTATCTGGGGTTTTGCAGCACCAGCCTCCTCTGTATCAGGTGCTCCAGGAGGGACATGCAGCATGGTGCGCAGTGCTAGATGCAATTTTAAGGGCGAATTCTATGAATGTGTAGTAGATACTCACCTGCTAGTGAGCGACTTCCTTCAGGTGTAACTCTTTGATTGCTTAAAGTCAGTCCGCTATTTTGATGTAGAATAGAACCAATAGTGAGTGGATAGGTAAGAAGTTTGCTGGCGTGTCGTCTTGAACGTTCTGTGTCCATGGAGGGAAATCCGCGTGTATACCAAAATACGTCCCAATTTGCGAATGATATAGCCTCCTCGTAAGCCTGTGGTCCTGGTGAGTGAATTAATTAGAATGTCCAAAGTGGAATACTAGAAGACGCACCGGGCATCTCAAATTCGCGTAACCGTCGACCGCTTCGGAGATCATGTTCATCCTCGTTAACCTCTCGAAGTCTAGAGCAGTACTTTGTGTGCTCTTGATCATCCATCCAATGCTCCTGCGAGCAATGTGTCGGGAAACCACAGTCAGGACATTCAAATTTCACTGCGAGAGGCTGCGATTTCGTGTGCGCATGAGTGCCGCTATGACCTGAGGCGCATACTGGACATGTAGCCAGTGACTGTATAGCTTCTCCGCGAGCACGTACTGCAGGGAACGGAGATTTCGAGAACTGATGAAATAAGTCGTCCTCGGTCAGCGACGGAACATGTTTTTCTTGTGCTGGCTTAGTAGACTTGCGAAAAAGATTAAATAGGGACCTGGTCCTAGGCTGGTTGGCACATAATGATCGTTGACGGGTCTGTGGCCCAAGGACAGCTCGCAGTGCTGACCTTGAGCGAAGAAACGGAGAAGCCATAAGTAGATGTTTGTTGTTGTTGTTCAAGATCTTTTAGATGGGTTGTTTGTTCTTGTTGTCCAAAGCCATCTACGTAGCCTAATTTGGGTTGTGCTAATGGCCTTCCCATCAGTTGATCATGGCAGCACGAACAGCTACGATCTCAAGAAAGACTAACGAGACACAGATAGAAGTTTCTATTAACCTTGACTGCGCTCCTGGATCCCAAAATGCTCAGGTAATTGAGATATCAACGGGAATTGGTTTTCTGGATCACGTATGAATAACAATTTCGTAACTCCAGACTCCGGCTGATTGAGTTTACCAGATGTACCATGCCTTGGCAAAGCATGGAGGGATGTCACTGACCATGAAATGTAAAGGCGATCTATGGATTGATGACCATCACACAGCAGATAAGTATCGTATGTCCTCTTGGTTGAAGGAATCACAGAACCAATATATCCGCGGTATTTACAGGATAGCGCGATCGCACTCGGAACGGCTTTCAAGCAAGCTCTTGGTGAAGTTCGTGGAATTCGTCGATACGGAACTGGATTTGCACCTTTGGATGAGGTGAGTGACCGGGAGGCAGCTTTGATGTCACATGCCCATCTAACAATTTCCAGGCTCTCTCTCGAGCCGTTATTGATATTTGCTCCAGACCGTACTGTGTCACTGATCTGGGCTTAAAGAGGGAGAAGATTGGAGACCTTTCGACGGAAATGATCCCTCATATATTCTATTCTTTTGCCATAGCTTCTGGTGCGACTCTTCACGTCGATGTCCTACGGGGCGAAAACGATCACCACAGGTGTGTTTGTCCAACGTTCGTTAATCCAGTGACAGCACTCAGCCACCAACTGCAGATCTGAATCCGCGTTCAAGGCACTTGCCCTTGCGATCAAACAAGCCATCGAACGTACTGGTGGCGACGACATTCCAAGTACAAAAGGAGTTTTGTGACAATTTTGTGCATGAGCTTCAGTTCAACCCTTTGATCATAGCGGGTATAAAAGGATAAAGAAATGCTTGAAATAGATAATGTACAGACTGCAGTGTTCGAACCACATATTAACCACAGGAAAACGAATGTCACAAAAACAAGGTATCAGATCAAGACCAAAAGACACATCTCTTCTCTTTTGGAGGATTAAGCTGTCAAATATTGCGTCAGCAGGAGTCTGTGTCTCATGGCGCCTGCACTTGCCTTGGCATACTTTGAGCACTTGAAGGCTTCTGCGAACTCCGGAATATTGTACACAGTCCCTTCCGCGCGATACCGGTTTGGCGAATGAGGGTCTGACCGGACACGTCGAACCTTTTGCAAGATTATATGGAAACGGCTGTTGAGATGGATAGAAACACTTACTGCGTCAGCAGGGCTAATGTTCATTGCCCATGTACGGGCAAACGAGATGAAGAATAGCTGCTCCCTAAAACATGCCGTTAGTGTCTGAGTATTTCACTAATACATCGAGTTTCGCGAACCGAGTGTAGCCAAGGCCAGGAAGCATGTATTCTTTTCCGGCGTCGTATGAATCTTCGTATTGTGCCTTCCAAGCCCGATATGCCTGAATCAGACCTGTGTCCCCGATGTTTTCACCGGAGGTACTTGAAAGCCCTCAATTAGTAACGTGAGCAAGCTTGAACGTCATGACCATGAACTTACAGATTTCCCTGTGGATCAACTGGTCAATGTTTATCAATGACAAACATAATAGAACATACATTGACATGAATGAGCCCTCCCTTGCCATCATCTACTGTATACGAGGAGTATTGCTCCACGATGCAGTCCTGGCGAATCTGGTATGCGTCGCTGGTCTGGCGTGACCACCACTCTTCGAGTTTTCCTTGTTGGTTGTAAAGACGACCTGAGGAGTCAAATGCGTGCTAATGCCACTTAGGCCAGTGCGTATGGGAAGAGTAATGTGTCGAGCTCACAGTCAACTCGTGTGCAGCTACCATTCCAAAGGAGCCATAAGAGAGGTATCCAGGCCTGTAGAAGCGTGGTTGAGAAGGGACTTGGAAATAGTAACGTATATTCGCACCAGCTCTCGGAGAAGAAGGGAGGTTGTAAGATTCCGGCTGGGAAGACAATCTTGTGTGTTCTTTGTCAGTCCAGTGCCTTGACCATACGATTCCACTTACTTCATTGGCAGGAGGGTTGTAGTACGCATTTACAGTTGCTGGTGTCATCTCCCACTCGTCAGGATTTCGCTGCTTGCCGACTTTCTGCCACATCTTGTACATGTCGGAGGAGCTGTTTGATATACGGTCAGTACTTGATTTGAGCGGGCATTGGTGCAACATACGAAGCACTAAGCATGTTTTCAAAGAAGGTGTCCACATGTACTTTCACCAGGGTGTAGTAGGATACAAGGGAACGTGGATCACGTGTGTCTGGGGATAGAGGGAAGCCAACCTTGACGCGAAGGGCTTCAGCTTTCTCCGCAGCTTTGCGAGCGGACTCCTCATCCATCCATTCGATACGGCGTAGAGATCTCTCAAAGGCGTCAATGATGTCTGACGAATGAAAAGTCAGTAGCGTTCTAGGGGCAAAAATTCTTTCTTTACTCACTATCGATGACCTGCGTTGCTTTCTGCCTTGATTCGCCAGGGAACGTTTGGTTCACAAAGTATCTTCCAGTACCGAAGCCCAACGCAGCATCCACCTTAGTCATGCAAAACTGGGAGCGTTCGCCAACTACGCCGGGCTTGTAGCCATACAAAGTTTCTTGTAGAGTTCTCACAGCCTTCCAAGCCTCAGTGGTCCGACCAAGGTTGGGGGCATACTCTAACGATGCGCGCACAACAAGATATGCCTCGATGACATCCGCTTCTGTCTTCTTCAAGATCTCCGACAGGGAATTCGGGTAAGGTTTGTACGTGATGACAACACGACTTGGGAAGACACGAGGAGTGAACGTGGCAAAATAGTCCGGGAAGTTGATCTGCGAGAGCTCGGCCTTGAGGGTGTTGATGTTGGTCGGGTTGTACGTCCCGAATGGATCTTGCTGCAGCTTGTCACTAATAATTTTATAACCACAGTCAGAGTCTGCCAATGGCGGGATGTGAATCGGCTTACAGGTCAAGTGTCGCGTCCGCGATTTCAGTCTCGAACTTGACAACTTTCTGCGCAAGCTCGCGAGCGTTCTGGAAAGGATCTCCAGGGCTACGTCTCCGACCATCCTCATTGTCGTCGTCATCGTCGTCGCCATTTTCATCCCAAGGTGGCCAGGGCCAGGGGGGCCAGACATGCTCGCTGTCTTCGAGTTCTTCCGTCTGGAGGATGATTCCTGTAGTTTCTTCACTCAAAACTTTGTCATCTCTCAAGGATGACAAGAGGCGCTCAATGGCATCCTGATATACGGTGAGGATGCTCTTGTCCTTGTAATACTCCTGATGATTGTTAGGCGTATTGAAAGTTCTAAGATTTCGGGAGCTGACCTTGGAAGGGAGTCCCAGGCTGGGTTGACTGAACCACAGAATCATATTGTTCGGGTCAGCACCAGCATCGCCTTCAACACTAAACTCAAAAAGTGCGTCGACACCTAAGTCATGGCATGAGCGAACGGGCAACAGAAGGTTAAATAAACGACTCTTACCCCGAGAGTGCAGATAACCTAGGGCGTTGGATAGGCCCTGTCTCGGATTCATGGTATATCCTTGGGTAGTCTTCCCCCTGTAAAGCTTCCGAATCGTGTTGACGAACTTCTGTAATGGTTCCTGGCCAAGATAATCAAGTCGCGCTTCATCCATGCATGAACCGTACAGTATACGGATCTTGTGAAGCAGTTGATCATCCCACGAATTGTCTTGGATAGATGAGTCGCCTTCGAGTAATTTAAGAATGACTTGCGCATTCTGCTCTGAAAGAACCGAAAAGGAATTGATGGCACCCTTGTCACCCGGAACGGGGTGCGAGGCAATCCAGCCACCGTCTGATGATGTAATTAAGCAATGCAGCGGACACGATACAAACCACGTGCCGACTTACTTGCAAAATCATAGAAATTTTCGCAAGGGTCTTGTGATGTGTCCAGGGAGGATAGAATGGATGCAGCCAAAACGATGCAATCCGGAGTGTTGCATGTATCCTGTAAATGGTGAGACATAGTTCAACCACACACAAATAGACCTACCGATGGAGGCGCAGGCCCGGGTGGTGGGCTAGGATTCTCGGGAGGCCCTGTGGGTTCTGGCCCAACGATCACCGTGTGCGTGTGAATATTTGTCGTCGTGTAAGTGGAGGTGGAAATCGAGGTGGAAACATATGTTTTCGTGGCAGTGGTTGTCGCAGTTTTGGTCGCTGTGGTTGTGCCGAAGACGGTAGAAAACGTCGTAGACACCGCAGTGGTGGTAGTCACAATGCCAGAGATTATAGTCGATGCAGCAGTAGTCGTGTGAGTCACTGTAGCAGTTGCGGTCTTGGTCAGGGTAGTATTACCTCCACCGCCGTCACCACCTCCACCACCAGGGAGGCCATTTCGCAGATTCAGTTTATGTTGTGCGCCAGCGAATAGGCCAATAAAGACGGAACTTATGAGAAGCAGTATGAGGACTTCAACAAGCAGAACTTTAGTGAGACCCGTGAGAGGCTCTTGAACAACGTCAGCTATTCTTCGAGACATAGATGGGTGGGGAGAGCGTGACTGGGCGCTTTGCGGAGAATCATCATCTCCACCTCGCAAGAGAGGTGCAGACTCTGTTCTCAAAGTAAGCAACAAACGTAGATAATATTTGACTGACTAATATCGTACCTTGGTCAGTTGAGGGCCTTGGCTCATACGCCATGGCGAATGCGAGTGTGGCCAACAGAAACAGAGACGGTCTTTAAGTACCTCGTGGACGCGTGCTGAGCGTATGGAAAGCACGCGGCTTCCTCCCATATGGAAGCTAACCGCGGTCCCGAATAAGGAAACTCCTGGAAGCTTTTGGACAACAGATCAAAACAACGCCTACCGTCTGCATCCTGGCACAACTTAGTGCTCAGGCGATTTTCACATCAATATGTACAAGCCTCGCGTTATGCGTGCAGCTTCAGGCCTTTGACGCACACAGTCGTGATCACCAAATTGACACGTGGATCATTGGCTCTCGTAAGCCAAAACTTACCAATATGTGATGTACCCCATTTTTCCTTATTCAAAATAGAGCTTTCTACGTGTCCCGTCCAGGGTTCAATAAATGACGAGGATTCTGCAATGCGTTGCTCTATCTCGTTACATGCAACTGCAACGTCATCCTCTGTTAAGCTTTCTGGCTTTACTAGTAGCTCGCCGTTACTAACCTCACCAGCTGTGGTGTTCATGCGAAATTAGCATGATATGCCGCATGGTCTCACCATGGACATAGCACTGATGGTTACTACGAGAATGAGCCCAATAGTGTTGACCCCTACGATGCTCACCCACGATCTTCCACTGTGGACCTAGACGCTCGGGTCAGCCCAATCCGTATTATCCCAGCGCGGCAATCTCACCAGGGCGAAACTGCAGACCAGATTATCTATCCGCCTGGAACGAAATCTACTGGCCACACATTCTGGTATCACGATGCATACGATAATGGTTCCAGGCAGGAACAGGAAATCCGAATGGGGGCACCAGCTTGGAGGCATTTTTCTCCGATTATAATACGACTTGCCGATGTCACTATTGCCATCACTTGTTGTCGAGGAGCAATAACGTGAGTCACAAGGCACGCAAATCCCTTGAGTCTGCAAAGCGCCGCGCAGGTTCCACGTTCCGTCTCCAACGCCCACAGAAGAGTGTTGCTGACTTCCCTCTTGCCGTGCTCTAGCACCATCCCTCCGATTCTTGCGCTTTAAAACCACTTCTCTCGAATCACCCTTCTTGAACAAACAACACTCATTTCATTATATCGTCTATATGTCACTTCATATCATTGTCATTCCTTTTGCCCTAAATATAGTAGCTGTGCCACAGCTGCCTCTCAGTATGTTTTCTGGTCTTGTCTGTTCTACGTGATTGTGTAGTCATTGAATGTAGCTATTATCACCCTTGGAGCTTTGTGTCATGGTATGGGGTGACATTAATAGTGTTGTGACAGTCCCACGGTGTGACGGCACGTGTTATCATACGCGACGCGACGCGTATGATGATTAACATCTGTTTCGAACCCTTCGAAGGCACGGGTCGTTCTCCGCACACCTCTCCAATTTTATGGTCTTTCTTCCGCCACCACATCTTGCATCTGCCTCGCGACCTGCTTATGCTGAGGCCTACGCGAATATCCTGGCGGCACACCGCCGCTCACCGCTCACATCTGCTTCGTCTGTCATAATCCTCGTCGCTCCCGATGTTGATGCGTTGTGTGCAGCAAAGATGCTCGCGGAACTTCTTAAGCAGGATGATGTTATGCACAGAATAATCCCCGTATCAGGTCTGGCCGACCTTGAACGGATGAAAGACGAGCTGGTTACATATGCGGAGGTGTGTGTATTGTTATCAAAGGTACACCAACTAGCTGAATACTTGAAAGCTACACACTCTCATCCTATTGAACATGGGTGCTATCCTTGACCTCTCATCCGAGAATTGGTTCGGCGAATTCAGCATGAAGCTTACAGTGCACATTATAGACTCAAACCGGCCACAGAACCTTGCGAACATGTTTTCTGGAGGTGAAAATGGCGAGAGATTTATTGTATGGGACGATGGCGAAGCAGAGAATATGGGAGAGGAGAGAAAGGCTTGGGAAGCCCTGACGGTGAATGTGACGATCACTACCCTGGTTCCTACTAACTTGGATGTAGTACGAACCTGAACCTGACTCTGATGAAGATTCAGAGTTGGACGATGAAGATGATGTACGGTCAAATGAAGGTGATGATCCCCATGATGACGAAGAGTTCTCTGAACGAGGCCCTTCGGGGAAGAGGAGATCATTGGGAGACGGCGATCGAAATCAGGAAAAGCGGCGGAAGCTGGACGATGTGAGTCATCATTTAACCTTCACCCAACGCATTGTCACTGTATTAAACACATGATCAAGCAATCTACTCGGCTTTCACGAGAACAACGCGACACATATCACGAACTCATCGCCAAATACTATGGGAGTGGGTCGTGGCATGGTCAAAGTGCCTCTGCGACAATGTACATCCTTGCAACTGTTCTTGAACGAGTGGACTGTGATTTGCTCTGGTAAAGCGCTTATTGACCTTCCGTGGCTCGATTTACGGAATTTGTTCTTCAGGCATGCGATCCTTGGACTCACGTTCCAGTATACCACCGCTCGAATATCCCGCGACACTTACGACAAATACCATTCAATATACTACGACGAAGTTTTCCGCCTGAACCCGCTCCCGCCAGACGTTGCTGCTAATACGACAGATGCCATCACAGCCATGAGCCCAGACGATCTATCTGTACGGGCAGCTGAAGAGTTGCGTTTTATGCTTTTCCGACATTGGACCCTCTACGATGCAATGTACCACTCAAGCTACGTAGCGGGCAAGCTTGGCATATGGAAAGAGCGCGGACGGAAGCGCCTCACCGGATTGCTCGCGAAGATGGGGTGCGCTTTCGTGAATACTTTTATTGACATGACTAACAAGACTCTTCCTCCGTAGTTTCTCTATTCCGCAGACACAGCAGCCCTATGCGCACATGGACCTTGACTTGAAGCACCAACTGCGCGCGAAACTCGACGCAATCGCACCAGAATACGGTCTTGTCGAGTTAACGTATCCATCCTTTGCGAGATGCTTTGGGTACCGCGCTTCCCCTCTCGGTGCAGCGGATGCTGTGGAAGCAGTAAGTGCGTTGCTTGATGTCGCAGGTGGCATCAGAATGGAGGTCGAGGTTGAAGGCGCACGGCACGGGGGTGAGTGGTTTGGTGGCGGGAGATTATGGGATGGGGGGCGGAATGGGGAGGAGCAGCGGGGAAAGGGGATTGAAGTCGGTAGCGGGCGAAGGGATGGGGATGTCGATGTGAACAGAGATGCTGACGGCGAAGAGCGGAAGGAGAGGACATGGTGGGTAAAGAATTTCTGGGCTGCTTATGATGCTCTGTCAGAGTAAGTGTCCATTCATCCTGTTGACGTGCGTTCTGGAATAACTGTATTTAGCATTGTACCCCTAAGAGACGCTCTGTCGCTTGCAATGTCGCTTCATCGTGCCATCATTCGGCAAGGGACGTCGATAATAGACAAGCAGGACATTCGAACGATGCGCTCCCATCGTGTCGTGGTACTCTCGCAGGGACCTGATCTTGCTCTCTTCGCCCACCCCGGGGTTCTCGCGCGCCTAGGACTTTGGCTAGTTGATGCGCTTCGTGACCGCCTCCCAGGGACAAAAATTGGCGGTCCCCAAGGACGAGGAAAGAAGTCGCTCCCATTTGTCGTCGCTTGCTTGAACGAGAAGACGCAAACATATGTTGTAGTCGGTATCATGGGGGCGCTTGACTTTGGCGATGTCAGGAGAAAGTAAGTTGACATTCACGCCTTGTTCTTAGTACTAACATGCGCGGTCCACCTCACTTCAGCGAATTTGGTCTTGCATTCATCGAAGCAAAACAACGCTGCAATGCGCGGTCACGCCACAGTACCTTTGATGCCAGCGTGCTCGAGATCGAGCAAGAGGATCTGAAATTGTTCTTGGAGACCTTGTGCGAAGTTGGGGAAGGTTACTGACATTCTAGGGTAGTCTTTGCATATTGTTGTCCTTGTCACTTTGTAGCTGTCTTACATCATATCCGCATCAATCTACTTGTTGTACTCTCCCAACGTTGCCCGATAAAGCGGTACGATGAAATGACAGATACTCCACGAGTACCTTCATTCTCCCGAGCTTCCACCAGATCCGGAATCCAAATCTGTGACCCTCTTAATGTCTTGAGAAGTAATCATATTTGATGTTTACACCTGATCAGTGTCATACATTAATTAAAATTCAACCAGATCCAACTCCATCAGAATATTCGGGCTACCTGCCGCCGCAAGCACAAGCTATGACAGTTAATACTCTTTAATACCGCGCAAAAAATCAGAAAAATCGTAACGATGGAGCAACCGGGATATCTTTACCGCACGCTCGTCAAGAGTGAGATTCTTGATCACCGTGGACTGCTGCGGTGTCGGATCGGATAGGTCTGGGCGCGTGGCGTTCAAGGTCACGAAAGAGTATCCTATCAACCGCGGAACGCCCCGTGATCAGTAACATTGGCACCTCAGCGGTACGATCTGTCAGAACCTGAATCAGTGAAAATCTACAGAGAAGATGATTGAGCCCCTGACAACATTTTGAAATGCGGATATTCGGTATGCCTGACTTACCTCCCTTCCAAGCCGCGGAATGCCCTGTTGACAGTCCCAATGGGCATGCTACGCGCCGCATCGATCATGAAGTGCCAGGGCCAAAGCCCCTCTTCAATCTTTGCAAATTGGGTAAATTAATCTATCAGAGGCTCAGGCTAGGCCCGGAGGTGGTGGAAAGAATGCGCTTGTGCAGGCCTGGGCTGGTCACTAGAACCCAAGTATTGGTACTGATAATACAAATTGCGTTGCATTACCGAATTCGAACGAGATCGGTATAGTCTTCGCCAAAGATGCCACTCACGCTGGACTTCGGAAAATGTGTATAGGACATGTTCTCCTCCTGATGATTCGTGATGGTCTTTCAACCGCTGGACAAGCATGCGCGAATAATTTTTCGCTGGTGAGTGTGCATGGTTTGAAGAGTTTGTTCTGACTAGCCAGGGAGACTATTATGGACCGCACCCAGAGAATAGGTGACGCGTAGAAGTCCATGACTAAAGCAGGAAAGGGACGATGAGTGCGCGAACAGATTATATTATTTGTCTCTGAGTCGCAGTGGGCACCAGGCAATATGGACCGCACCCAGAGAACAGGTGGCCCGTAGAAGTCCATGACTCGAGCACGAACGGGACGATGAGTGTGCGGAAAGATTAAATCATTTGTCTCCCAGTCGTTGTGGGCACCAGGCAAAGACAAACTTACTAATCGAACGGCCTTCGAAGCGGCTTGAGGATATATCCGGAAGCATCCGGCAGGGCTTCGGGCGAATAAGAACTTGATTAGGTACGCGGAACGGGCGCTTTCTAGCCTTGCTGCGATCGACCACAGCGAGCGACAACTTGTTCTACCTCATCCCTTTCTCATCCTCATCGCCATCGACAACGTCGACAAACATTAATAAAATCGCCCAAGCTGTTCAGCACATCCGACTAACTAGAGTTATCAACTGACCCCTAGCACTCAAACCTCCCACTGAAGTAGCTGCTGATCGAATCGATCGCGATGCCAGCGCCAGTAGCGGTGTACGTCGTTGCGGCTATTGCAAGTTTCGCTGCTGTTTATGCTTTTCACGAGGTGACTTTCTGTCTTACGTCTACAAAAATCCCATTCCGTCCTCACCCGCTTCCAAAATCACCCCTCTAATCTACTTTTCAGTTCGTCTACGAACCCCACATCGCCCCTGCCATTGAGCGCTGGGCAGAGGACTTCCTTGAAAATCGTCGTGCTCGACGCAGAGTTCCTGTGGCATCCACCAGGGGGCTTGGGGACGGAGACCTGGGCCCTCGCGGTGCTGATCCTAAGGAAAGGACCGCTGCGAGAGAACAAGATTCCATCGAACTAGAAGGCCTCAATCTCGGCCCCGTTGACGAATGGCGGAACGAGGTCCATCGCACCGCCCCAGGCACGGGTGCGAGGCGGAGAGTGAGAGTAATCCCTGACACAGACGAAGGGAGTATGTCTACCACAATAGATAATGTATGGCTTGCCTTTCCTATCGTACCCCACCCTCCTGAATGCTGATCAAACATACGCAGTCCTTTACATCCCTCACTTACACTCCGCTCGCACCCACCCACGTCATCTCCAACGTCTCCTCCCCTTTCACAGAAACCCTGTCTATATCCACCCGTACGCCTACCCGTGCCGTTTCCCGAGCCTCTTCCAACACCGCAAGCGACTCTGAGCGCGAGGGTAACACTACTATAATTTTTGCACCGTCTTCCAACTCGTCTTCCCCTCCTCCGAGCCCGCCATTCGGTCCTATACTCCCCGACACCCCTCGCACGAGCGCCGCCTACTCCGCCCGCCCGTTTTCCCCGGTCGTGCGCACGCCCGTGCGCTCCCGTGCACAGTCGAGCAGGTCTTCTTTGCGGCACTCCAACTCGAGCTCGCGCGTCAGCGTGGATGTGCACGGCAGGCGTGTGGACGTTGACGTCGAGGATGAGCACGTCGACATAAACATTTTCAGCGACGCTAGCGCCAGTATGCATATGAGCGCAAATATCAGCGTTGTGGAATCGCTATCAGAACGTTACCCCGCCGCGCCCACCCCGCCTGTCCTACTCTCCCCGCCTTCATCACACACACTTCTCTCCTCTCCAAACACAGACGTCCTGAGCCTTGGGAGCAGCGGTAGCCGTTCTGGTTCGCCATTTGCTGTGCTTTCCCCGCCTGAGCAGCGTGCGTCCCTCTCAGGTGCTGCGAGCTCGCTATCGCCCTCGATGACAAGCGAGGATGAGTTTATGTCGTTTGATGAAGGGTCAGATGGGGTTGGGGAGAGAATAGTGTCGCGAAGCGGAAGTGCGCGTTCGCCTAACCCTTTTTCAGACTCTGACGAGGGGAGTGATTTTGATAGTGGCAGTGAGGGGAGCTGGGGACGGGTGAGTACAGGACGAAGGTGATCTGGTCATGTACTAGTCTCGTCGGATTTTTAGAACTGGGGTTCGTGTGTGGTGTCGGGAAAGGGTTGCATCTGCCCAGGATACATTGATATACACGGGACCCTCTTGTTGCGGTATCTATTGTGGCTTTCCCTCCTTGTCTTTTTCTCTATCTGGTTCTCTGTCTCGCTCGTGTCTTGTACTCATTTTGTTATGTCGCTTTGCATTTCTCCTCATAAATTTGTGTTGTACCAATTTACCCTCATCGTTATCGTTGTAACCTGTGAACCCAGCCCACAACCGCTGCAACTTATGCAGATCAAATGCAAGCACATACCCGAATCTAGGGTATACTTACTTATAGACGAATGAAATTAGTTGTTGCTCGCAAAAGTTGTCTTTTACGTAATCACACTGTCGTTCATTAATGCAAAGTTGCTGGACGCTGACGTTGACGAGCACCTCAAATGCACCGTCGTAAAGCAGCCCTTTGTGCTTTTCAGCTCACGCAGCGCAAGTGTGCATCAACGGCAGCCAAAGCCAAGGTGGGCATCGCTACTTTTTTTTCACGATAGCGTTATAACCATCTCGCCAGCCTTCGGAATGGGCTTCCGTAGACCCCATCCTTCCTCCACAATCAACCCTGAGCAAGTGGGCCAGAGCGCCAACGACGTCCTTTAGTCGCGAGTCTGATGATTTCCGAGGCGTACCTTTGCGTGGTGGACCTGCTCCTTCCGCTTCAAAATGGGCTCGTCCCGCAACTCCTCAATCACGACCTGGCACGAGTAATTTTCTCGCAAGGACATCTGATGCTTCTAGTCGTGGCTCCACTTCTAGTCAGAAATTGCAACGAGACCAAGCGCCTCATATGGGGGCGCGCCCGTCTCCCCCTCACAAGCAGTCTCAAGACCCACCCAGAAGACAGCGAGAGGAGCATCATGGAGACCGCAGAATTTGGAAGGGAGAGGAATCGTCGCAGAATACAGCAGTTTCAAAAACAGAGCAAGAGAAGCCTCGCTTCTCTGCAGCATTTACTTTGGACAACGACTTGGATGTTGGCCGAAATAGACGTCCTGCGCGGGTGAACTTGAAGGATCGAGGTTCACTTCGGCACGCTAGAGATGCTGCAATTCCTAGCCATTCACGAATACAACAGATCAACCCAAAGCATGCCGCAAAAGCAAAAAAGGCGAAGGTTCACTCAAAAAAAGTAGCTGTCGATGTATACATCCCTACAACAGTTTCTGTTGGTCAACTAGCAAGACTATTAAATGTGCGGCAGAGTAAGTAACTGATGATTTCATGGGGGTTACCTGATCTCAAGCATTACAGCACTACTTCAACGCAAGATGGTCGAGGCAGGGATGGCAGCTGAGGCGTCGTATGATCATGGTCATTCTTGCTTCATCTCTTTCCCGTTCCGTTACTGATGCTTTACTGCAGTATTAACGTCCGACTACGCTGCCCTTCTTGCGGATGAATTTGGCCGCAATCCCATCATCAATGATGAAGCTGCTTTTGATATATATCCCCCGTACGTAGTACGAGATATCCAATATGCTTGTAGACTTATGCCACGTTCAGTGTTTCACATCCTGACCCAAGTACTCTTCCGACACGCCCACCCATCATTACTATCATGGGTCACGTTGACCACGGTAAAACCACTCTTCTAGATACCCTTCGTTCAGCGTCTGTTGCTGATGGTGAGGCTGGTGGTATTACGCAACATATCGGTGCGTTCTCGGTACCTGTCAAGGGATCCTCTAGTGGGACCATTACCTTTCTTGACACACCCGGACATGCTGCCTTTTCTGCAATGCGCTCGCGTGGTGCCAGTGTTACGGACATAGTTGTCCTTGTGGTCGCAGCGGATGATGGTGTGATGCCTCAGACAAAAGAGGTTATCGAGCTTATCAAGGGAGAGCAGGACAAGCTTGGGGTTGTTGTGGCTATCAACAAGGTTGATAAGCCAGATGCGGACGTGGTGGGTGTCTTTTTGGGTCGTCTTTTATTTGGTGTCTTAACGGAAATGGTTGTCAGGAAAAAGTTCAGCATGCACTCCTTGCTGAGGGCATCCAGCTGGAGGCATTTGGAGGAGACATCCCGTCCGTCGAGGTGTCCGGACTGACGGGGCATGGATTGGAAGATCTAATAGACACCCTGTCGTTGATGTCCGAGGTGCAGGACTTACGCGCAGAGCGAGATGGGCCAGCCTATGGCCATGTCATTGAATCAAGGATGCACAAAGGTCTTGGGTACGTTCAGTGATGCCGTGGCATCCTCGATTGACCGCCCATTCATTTACAGCTCCACCGCGACAGTCTTGGTTTTACGTGGATGTTTAACTCCCGGTGCTCACATCCTGGCAGGCACATCTTCCGGGAAAGTCCGTCTGATGTCGGATTCATCTGGTGCACCTGTTAAGGCTGCATATCCTGGAATGGCGGTCACCGTATCTGGGTGGCGGTCACTTCCGGGCGCAGGTGATGAAGTTGTGCAGGGTAGCGAGGGCGACGTAAAGAAAGCTCTCGCGAATAGGGTTAGGAAGAAGGAAGTGGAAACCGTTTTGATTGATGCGGAGGCAATTAATATTGCTCGCGCCGCAGAACGCGAAAGAGTCCGGAGGGAAGAGGATAAGAGTCAAGATGTGAGGAATGTATTAGATGGCGGCCCTAAGGAGCTCCGGTTGGTGATCAAGGGTGATGTGAGCGGGAGTGTTGAGGCCGTTGTGGGCGCGCTGGAAGGAATCGGGAATGAAAAGGCTCGAGTTAAGGTCGTATCCACAGGGGTAGGGGATGTAATGGAGAGCGATGTGATGATGGCCAAGGCCGCTGAAGGTAAGGACCCCAAGTCGTGATGATTTATGTGGGGTCAAGATGCTGATAATGCGCTCATAGGTATGATTGTTGCCTTCTCAGTCAACATTCCGCGTTCAGTGGAGACTGCTGCGGCGCAGAACCACATCCCAATTTACTCGTCCAAAATCATCTATCGGATCATGGACGAGGTCCGAGACCGTGTCACCTCATTGCTGCCTTGCACCTATGAGACAAAAGTCACCGGCGAGGCGACTGTTTTGCAGCTTTTCGATATCCACTTAAAAGGGAAGGCAACCAAGAAGATAGCAGGTTGCAGAGTCAGCAATGGCACCGTTGAGAAGTCTAAAGGGGCCCGAGTCGTGCGCAATGGTCAAGTAATTCATGAGGGTGTCCTCGATGCGCTTAAGCAACTCAAGAAGGACGTGTCAGAGGTGAAGAAAGGTACTGAATGTGGGATCGGCCTGCAGGACTATGAGGATTTGCAGGATGGCGATCTGATACAGATGTATCAGACGATCGAGATACCTGGCGTATTATGATCTGGGACGATTCAAACTATCGCTATGGTATTTTTATTCTTACACTAGAAATCTAGAGTTTTCACGTATTCCCCTTTCAATCCTCTAATCCACTCTATTTGTGTTTTGCTCATCAAGCACTAGATCTTTGCCCCCGATGGTACCCGTCCGGCCACCTACACCGAAAGTCAAGCTGATGTTGCCGAGATCGCGAGTTGTCTTTTCGAGCAAAGTCCAGCTCCTGGTATCAAGTTTCTTAAGGACTGCTTCGACCTTAGTGTTATAGAATTTGGCCGAAGACGCATCGGGATCCACTGGACCGAAAAGAACGATTGTGCGACGGAAGCGCTTGGATCCAGGGAGATAAAGGTCGAAGTGAATCTGATTTTCCTCTATCGTGACAATGCTCTTTTCCTTGTCCGCTTGTTTGGCAAACACGGAAACGTGGACTTCTTTTGGTGTCTGATAATGATCGACGCGACAGTCAGTGAACTGCTCCGCCTAGAAAAATGACACGTTCAATCCCGTCCTTGTGCGATGGAAGTGACAGTGAGAGAGCAAACCTGAGATTCTGTACGCTGCTTAGGCGCAAACACGTGACGCCCCTTTTTACATCCCTCAATCTTGAGGAACTCGTCAAACTCCAAGACACGTCGTTTACAGCATAGGTAACCCTGTGGGTGAGACATTAGTTTCTCGTCTGTGTAGTGTCCATATGACTGACCTTGCTTCCTTCATGAAAGATGGGCTGAAGTCTTGAGTCAGCCGACAGGCGAGCTCACCATTAACACCATCAACGTACAGCAGCTGGGTGGTATGTGCAGATGGTTTTATCGCCATCTCCGATTCGATTCATCTCATCGCTGACAAAAGCAGCACCACAACCACTGCGTTTACAGATGGTGCCAGAAGTTATGGGGACGCTGAGATCATCTTCATCTTCAACAACAGGGGTTACCACAGGTGGGATTGACTCGGATGGCTTGGGTGACGCGACCTTCGGTGCACCGGTTGAATAAACCTCCACTCCATCTTTTGTCTCCTTCATGGTAAGATTGGTGTCGGCTGAGGATGTCTTTGCAGCAGGGGCAGGTACTTGTGGAGCTTCATCTGAATGTGAAGAGACCGTGCATCCCTGATGATGAAGTTGTCAATGCACACTGTGTGCTGCGATGACTGAAGTCCCGGCGGCTACTACGTACAGGTATTTTCATGAACTCGTCAAAGTCCAAGACAGGTTTATTCACATCTGAACAACAAGACCACGATTTCAGACCTTCATGGAAAACCTAAAGGCTGGGCTAAACTTCGATGATTCGATGTTAAGATGTCACAGCGGCTCACAGGTGCTCCAAGATGGTACGTGCAGCTGGACGGACCATTAGTAGCTGGATCATAATCCTGACCACAGCCTTTTCGTGTGCAATGGGGCATTAATCGAGTTGAATATGAGTTGCAATCAAAATACTCGGCCGGGACTTTTGCAATTGTGATGTGCACACGATTTGCGTTTCAAAGCTGTTCAAAGCATCGGGTCTTTGCTATCTTACTTGTTTACATAATCAATCGCTTATAAACCGCATTGCGATACGAGCCAACTTGACTGTCCGATCCACGCAGCATATCGCGACGCTACGAAAGCTGCAATAATGCCCAATACACTCCCTCGAAAGCTGCTTGACTACATGTACATCCCACACTTGTTCCGGCGTCACAATCTCGGTGACATCTTATTTATGCAAATGATTTCATAAAGGAGACCACACCCGTCTCCAGCGCAAGCCCGCTGAGTATTCAGTGTTCTCAGCGTCTACTCGCACCGCCGAGAAGTTCTAACCCCGAGCCCTGATTGTTTCATGCTACCCTTATCGCTCCACACTCACGCCTACGCCGATATCAGGTTCGGGTTGAATGGACTCTTTAAACATGGACCCAGTTGACTACATTACTGTGTACTGTCTACATAATAGGGCACGGAGCCACACGCGCATAACAAACGATGTTTATGGGGCAGAAAAGAATGGTTCGCTGCATTGTAGTTATGGAAGGGTCGACGTAAACCTTGCCAAACCGGTAAAATCAGAGTGGGCGAAATCCTTTCACGGAAGTGTGATACGGTCCTGTGAGACACCCTTACAGTATTACCGCACCCTGCGGATCAAAGCCATACGTTATGGTGGAGTCAGATGCTCACGACTCTCTGACATTGAATCAAAGCGGTCTGGATATCATTGAATGTTGATAGAACGGATGGCAAGTATAATCGAATTCTGTGCCGTGACGACGGAATTTGTATTGGGATGAAAAGGGGGACATGATTCATGCAGGCTCTCAATTGATCATGACGAGACCTCTCACGTCATGCAGGATGCCCGAGTTTCACACCATAGAAAACAAACCTAGTGACGACTTATCCGTAAGATGCAGGAATTCGACATGTTTCTCTTATGGGCAAGGCTTGCACCGATATCGCGACACACAAGAGCAGCTTGTTATGAAAGGTGAGTCATTAATTTGGCGGAATGTACCAGATTGTGGCTAAGGGGATCCACGGGCAAGTTCTCTACTAAGCTTGTGCACAAAGAAGGTCAAATGACTCCTCGTGCTGAACGTTCGGTAAGCAGGAGTTAGGCGGCTGCAAAGCCCACTTCGCAACCATGTGTGAGCAAGTCCTGGACAGCGGTGAAGTCGTCACTGAAGGACCAAATGTTGAACGATATCATTCAGGCTCTGCTTGTGTCCACTTTTCGCACAATCTGTATAATCGTGTCGCCCGGAGATATCCCGGGGGGGTCATGGAGCACGTCACTGTTTCGGCGCCTCGGTCATGAAACCAGAAATCACTGACACGCGAACCTGGTCTTGCTAAGTAACAGCTTTGCCGTCTCGAAGCAATCTATCGTAACCGTTCTTGATGTATTGGAGATTGAAGTTCCATTGTGACAATGGAAGCATTTTCTGGAGCCGAGGTTCACAGAACTAGGCGTCAAACGTTCTCAGACCGTGCGGCAAGGGCCGCAAGACGCTCCGATACTGCCACAAAGCTCACGTCGTTGCCGATTAGTACTTCACCCGGAGGGGTGTGGAAGCTCCGCAAATCGCATGGGAAAGGAAGTACGACCGAACAACAGCAGCATGGCAGGCAAATTGGCAATGAAACGCTACGCCCTATGATCCTGACTCGACAATCAGTGCGTGTTTACGCTCCTTGAGTGGACACTTACTCCTCGGGGCGCAGCAGGCAGGGCTACGGATAGTCTGCAAGCGCCTGGTGATGCCCCTTGCGGTGAAATATATTGTATTTTCAATGCACTCACTTGTCATTTTTTTAAGGTTAGTGATACGGGTCGAACAGCGCGTTTTCGCATCCAGCGATTTCCATTCGCTCCTTTTGTAAGCAACATGATGTAAAAGTGAATGGGAGAAAATCCGCGTCTTCACGGGTGAGGTATCTGAAGCTCGGATTCATTAAGATAAGTTTCAAGGGCGCATGCTTGAAACGCGGTTCTTCGCACTAGTGTCATAGCTAGTACTCACTAATGCAGTGCCACAAGTTGATGTTGTACAGCCACCAGTGCGAAGATCGTACGTACGTAAGACGATCGACCTTTTGAGTTGGACTTCCCTTGGCCAGAAACATCGCAGGTAAGAACACTTGAGCTGTTATTAGCGTCTATCGGTAAAATGTGCGCATGAATCGGCCTCTGCCCACTAGCAAATCATGCTGTGTCTATCGCCAGTAAGGTGCCCACTCATGGTGAGAATCACGGTGAGAAAACGGAGTTACGTTGCGCGACTATAACCTGCATGCATGGGATACCTGGGATACATGCTTATCCATATGGCGAACGTAGGTCTGTCAGGACAAACCCGGTCCGAAAGCCTCCCATACCAAAAAGCCTAACCCCCATGGGCCGACTCGAGCAAGAGTTCGAAAGCCGGAATATATCCGACGACGAGTGGTAGACATTTCCAGTTTTTCGCTACCCGCAGTGGAAGGATCACGGAAAAAATGAATTATTCCATCCTCACGAATTCTGTGCACAATCGCGGACAGCAGATGTTTCTGAGTGGGATGAACGGTCCGTTCTAGTTGAATTATGCGCCTGGTTACGTCCCATGGTCTGCTGAGGATCTCGTATGCCAAACCCGCCGATGCCCCTCCAGCCACTAAGGTAATGCCATGGATGGTTCGTGGAAAATGGCGGCCGAAGAAGTGTTCCTCTGGGGCCATTGAAAAATTTTCGATAGTGCCTTGCGCTGCAGCTTTGGAAGCTAACGCCACTCTACGAGTGATTTCAAATATCATAAAGAACGCAGCAAAGCCTGGGCAATAATGAAATCTCAGAAAGTGCGGGTTGTGACTCATGGAGGTATTACCGCAAACATCTTTGGCGCACCCCCAGCCCCAACCGTCCCAGCCCCGACCAGCCATCCCTGAAACCTCCTTCATCCAGTGCCTCACCTGTCTCATCTCTTTGATATTGTCCGCTCTACTGGCTGATCTAGGGGATTCGGTTCCTCGGAAGACTTCTTGCCATGCATGAGACCATCCTCTACCGGTGCCACCCTCAACAATAAGGCGGGTGTTTTCTACAGGAGCCGCAACCAGGGCTTGTACGCCCCCAGCGGCAGCGCCTGAAAGCGCAGCGACACAAGTTGGATGCGTCCCCAGGCGCGCTTCCAGGTAATTAGATGTTTCTGTGTACGTCGTCCACAGAACAGTGCCCAACATTGCATTTGCGACCATTGGCGGCACAAAATGTTTTGGAATCACCATGAACTGACAAGACCTGATCAACACCAAAGTAAAGGTATGACATGACCAAAAAAGAGAACTACACCTTGGGTCTTCACGAGCGCGGATATATACTGGACACTTAGAGTCGTTCCGTGCTTATTAGCATGACCACGAAGAGAGTGCCAGCCGCTCACTCAACAATGAGTGTTGTTAATGAGACTATCATGAAAATATACAGACAGACAAACCTTTGGCAGGCCGAAATAGTCGTACCGGGCGAGAGAAGTATAGTGCTACTCCCCTTGTGGTAGTCCTGGCGAGTGCTGCATACAGTGAATTGCCTTGTTGTTCTTTGGATGCACTGTCGTGAGGATTTGTCGACATTCACACAAGCTAAGTTGGTGAACCTCGAGAAGTAAGAACTATCAGATACGTTATCTGAATCGCTTTCTGGTGCAGTCGGTAAAGGTACCAAACCGCGGACTGCAACTGCATGCGGCGGAGCTCAAACTTCGGGTTGACTGGTTGACTCTCTGGTGTCTCCGCCATAATTTGGTCACATTCACATCCAAACTAACCAACTTGAGCTTGGAGGTTTGCTAGTAGTGGTGCTTTCACATATCATATAATCGCCATACTAACTTCGACCCTATCTTACATCTCTCGAGGTTTATGGCCTAGTGCAAGATGTTCTCTGCCCACAAACGATTATATGCGCCGTTGTCACGAGAAATCCACTCCGTGCGAACCAGGTCTACTGGTCTCCCAGAAGGATTCAAATTTTTCCCGGAATTTCTGTCCCTCACGGAGCAGCGCACGCTGCTCTCCGCCGCACTCTCTAAACTTGACTCTGCCGAAACAAAACAAGCTCGGAAGCGGCGAAGGGACTTCCTTGCCAACCACCCTCAGCAAAATCGCGCAATCGAGGGCCTTTTCCTTCCTGACGCGTACTATAACTTCCAAGAGGTTTTCCGTCGTCTTCACCGTCAAGAGTTTGGCTTATGAACAATCATAGGGCCATTACGATGGCGTGATACGACATTACCGTGAGACGCACTTGTCATCATGGCCAGAGGATCAGAATCCGGGCCTTTCCTCTATTCTAGCCCGTTTGCAAGGGCTATATCCGACCTCGAATATACAAACACATCTTTTGCATCTGTCATCCGCGGGGGAGATTCTCGGACATGTGGATAATATAGAAGCCAGTGGAACTTGGATCCTCGGTGTCAGCCTTGGCGCAGCAAGAGTATTACGAATGGAGTCGACAAACAACCCAGAAGACTCCTTCGAGGTCCTACTCCCTTCAGGTAGTGTTTATCTACAAATGCAAGTGCAGTCGGTATGCCTTCAAAATTGAAGCTAAAAGCCAGAGTAGGGACAGCGTGCGGTACGACTATAATCACTCTGTACTAAAAGCAGGCCGTTTCCGCGGATGCGAGATCAAGGCCGGCCAACGAGTCAGTATAATGATTAGAGTAAGTCGATTATTCTTCACAGATATGGCGCTTAATATTTTATTATGCTAGGACCGAAAGGAAGTACCTATAGTATTCGATTCATAGTGAGCTCGTTATATTTTGAGGTCTATACTGAGGCCTCCATCCTGATGTGCTGGAAGGGTTTGATTGAGCAAGGAGTTTACTTTACTCTCTTCACATGAATATCAAACTGGGACGTCGTCGTATGAACAGGCACTGGCGATTTAACCGCATATTTCATTCAATTAAACAAAGCCAAATTTCCTCCAGAACGTCCTGCCTGATCTCAATGTTATCAATGTTGTGCTGGAATTATAACAATCGCTATACTTGCATCAGGAACCTGATATTCGTCGAATTAAATCTGCGATGTGTTGCTGTTTTTAAAATAGCATTATACATTTGTGAGTAGTTTCCCCGTCATATGACATTCACGTGTTCACCACGCAGCATGGCGGAGTTTGAAATACAGGTTATCGAGTTAAAATATAGATATTACTTTAATAATTTACAAGCAAGCCGCACAAGCTCACGACTGAGCGCATTAGCCGCAGGAAAACAGCCTCGGTCCTGTTGCAAAACAGAAAATCCGATGATGCTCCTTGCAGAACGCAGTTAAAGTTTTCACGAAGTAGTGGACGCGTTCGTCCGGTTTTTTGCTTGCAAAACACTATATGCTGTAACTCGTCAAGCACACTGAAAGTTTTCACGAAGAACGACGCGTTCATCCGGGTTTTTGGCAGTTTTTCCGACAGCCGAACTTCTCCCTAGAATATGGAGCCGACGTAGTAACCTATCGTCTAACACATGTTTTGCGACCCTCTTGCACTCCCACACACTTGTCGATCTCCACGCTCGCTGGACGTATTGCGCAATGGCGGCGCAAAGGTAAGTATTATAATTATGGTAGCGGTCTGTAGTACGTAATAGAATTAGTTTCCTGATTTGGTAATGACCTCTCGATCGATTGCTTCTCTTTGTTGGTACATAACGACTACATAATATTGGCACAAAACGTTAGCAACTTCTTCAAAAGTGAGGCAGAAGGACTCGGATGCACTGTGGAAGGGAATTCTTGCATATGTGCATGTTACATACTTGCTAGCAGTAAATCATGCATCTTGAACTTCGAAGTTGACCTCAAACTTCTGCTACGTAGTCGAAGCATCCTTCAACTACTGACCTGATATCATTTTTGTCCCCCAGATTTCTGGTTGTGTGTTGATACCAACGGAGCGAGGAACATGACAACGGTATTCGAGGTTAAAAACGGCTCAATCGCCAAGATCAGGCGTTCTAGAAGATGATCAATTATTGTCACTTGCCAGGCCTAGAGGGTATATCATTTGATTCCTGATCTCTTTCCACGAGAGACCCCCCCTGTCGAAGCAAACCCCCGCGAACCCCGATCTATCCTCAATTTATAGCAATGACGTGGTAGTTTTGTTTTTTTGCTTCCGCGAAGAAGCCTGCCCCACCTCTGCTTACTCTGCCTGGTCACCCCCAATTGTATCGGACAATCATGAACTGTTTATTGCAAAATCAAAAAGACATGCGGCTTCTGGGGCTGCAAAATGCTCTCGCCGGATTTATTAGTTCCCAATCCCCTGGTAACTCGCGAGTATGATGCCACGCGACTTGGAAGAGCAGATCCCAACAGATTGATTGATCTCAGGATCAATCTCCCCGAGAGTCAAGAAATCGATCGCCAGATACAAAATGGATGAGGTACATGTGCGACAAGACGAATGAATACAGTACTAGTGGTGTGATAATCCTGAGGTCCATGAATGCGGAATGCGGGATGCGGTATGCAATAAATAACTCTAAGAGGACTCTATAGTTCGTAATTCTCATGGGTTCACTTTTACAAGGCTGGACGCTCTGTCGACGTATGTTATTAGACGATGACATCACTTATGAATCAGCGGAGGAGACCTACGGTAACTGTGCGTGTCCATCCCCATCTAATTTCACAACCACAATCTGGGTACCCTATGATATAGCTCATTAGAAGGATGGATAGCTTCGAGGATAACATAGAAAACCTACATCGGCCATACGGTTCGTGGCTTGCACAGTACCGTACTTGATTTCACCACCGGATGCCCAGTAAAAGACCCTGGTGCCATTCTAGTAGTAATTCGGTCAGGATGTCATTCAAGTCAGGTAGCATGCAGCTTACTGGAAAAGCGTTCATAGCCAAAACAGTAGATACCGCACACAGACGTCGAGTTTGGAGAAGCCGTGGGTTGAGAGAGACATGGTACCGGTCCTCCTATTATATATGTGAGTCTGTATGTAGATTACTTGAACACCTTCCTTCGGTGATAGGGACGACTTCTTTCTGAGAACTTGACGAGGCCGTGTCAATTTGTTCCATATAACGGTGCACGTATGATAGGTCGGATTGTGTGGAAATGAGCGAGGTCGCTTACGGTGAAGGGAACCTACAGACACGTTAATTAGCTGGCAACCTAAGGAACAATTGCCGAAGGCTTTACTAATTTCATTCAGACGGGATGATCTCGAGATTCGTCTCGCCGTTCGAGAATGCCGATGATGCTGAACTTAAAATCAAATGCGATGCCTCCCCGTTGAAAAGGGTCATGAAATTTTGGATGAATGAGGTCTCAGAAGCTGAGGTACAGACCCGAAAGACAGCACGTCTTGCCTTGCGGCTAACACGTAACAATCCGTGCGCCGCGCACGCAGAGTCTGGAAATGCACGGGCTCAATGTTATACCAGAGCACGTACGCACAGGTAAGTAGCCACATGTCGAAAAGTTCCCCTCTCTCATCAACGAGTAGCGTAAATGACCAAGGGTCGTCTACTCCGGATCGTCATATTGATCCTCGGAGTCGATCCGTCAGAGCTCCGTCTCATGAATATGAAGCGGAATATCGAGGACTCAGCGGACCTTAAGCTTCATCTTTGGATCTTGAGAAATGAGCCATGAAGAGAAGTATGCCATCAGTCGAACAAAGGTACAGAGTTCAAAAAATTGACACCCTACCATGGCATTGGTGTTGAGTTTCTTTAGGTAAGAAGAGTAATAATTACATTTCGTCACAGGTCACGCTGTCACATCACCAGCCCCTTCTTTGTTCAAGAACATGTCTGTAGTCCTTGTCACTGGATCTTACGACCATGAAATCAGGTTCTGGGAAGCCTGGAGTGGAATCTGTTCTCGTACTATAGCAAGATCTGGAGAGTCTGGCGTGAGCAACACACCTTTCCCCATTTCTATCGTCAAGACTTATACAGGGATTAGCAAGTGAATCGTCTTGCCATCTCACCTGAGTAATCGCAATGTCCTGTTTCTTTAGGTATGAATTTACTGATGCATTTTTATTCAAGCAAACGCCTTTTGGCCGCGGCAATTCACAAAAAGGTCTACATTTACGAGATTACCAGTACCTCCTCAACACCAGTGCGCGTCCTAATATTTGCTACCATCTCCATCCATTTATCCCATTTAGCTAACGTGCCTGGATGCACATACAAACAATGTAACCTCCGTGTCCTTCCACAGCGAAGGCAAGTGGTTGGTGACGGGTAGTGAAGATGGTACCATCAGAATATGGGATCTTCGGTGGGTTATCTCACTATGAATCCCAAAGCCTCGAGCGCATAACATCCACGCAGAAGTACACAAGTGCATAGAACGTATGATAATGGCGCCCCTGGTTAGTTGTTAACCCTTCTTTCATGACTGTTACTGATACCCTCAAACTCCCAAAGTCAATGATGTCTGTGTCCATCCAAATCAGGGAGAGCTTATATCCTGCGACCAAGCGGGTTGCATTAAGCAGTGGGATTTATCAGAAAATCTTTGTTCACACGAGCTGGTATGTCCAGAACAAGGTTGCTGTCGTCGTTGATTGACGCCTCGTTGGAGACACCTGCAGGCGACGTGCCTATTCGGTCCGTAAGCTTGGCATCTGATGGGTCCTGCCTGGTTGCTGGAAATAATAAGGTATTAACTACCTTTTGTTGATTCCTTGTTTACATTTTCGGCTTAGGGCAAATGCTACGTCTGGAAAATTAACGAGGAGAAGTCAGATCTACCTCGTTACCAGGCAGTGACAAAGTTCAGCGCCCATAAAAAGTACCTTACTAGGGTGTTGCTTAGTCCAGATGTGAAGTGAGCTTTTTTTGAGCTACCTAATTGGCAAAGTCTCTGAAGGAGAGGCAGATATCTCGCCACGTGCTCTGCAGATACCACGGTGAAGATATGGTCGATATCTCAGAATTACGAATTCAGACAAGAGAAGGTTCTTCAAGGCCATCAACGCTGGGTTTGGGATTGCGCATTCAGTGCTGATTCTGCTTATCTTGTTACTGGTGAGAAATTCACCTGTTGACTCTATAGCTAGGCTTCTGTAACCAACTCAACGCTCAGCGTCCTCGGATCATACTGCTCGGCTTTGGGAGATGGCCTCGGGAGAGACTGTGCGACAATATAATGGTCATCATAAAGGTGAGTTATGGTGTGTTAGTTTGTGGTGAAATCTGAAGGATGTCTCCAGCGGCTGTTTGCTGTGCACTCCACGATGGCGCTGGATAGTCTGTCTATCAGTCGAAAACCATATCTACCTCGACCGTTCTGTTCCACCAGCCTGCGAATCTACGAAATAGCAACATTTTTATTGATCTATCGAGATACTCAATTCAGTTTTTTTTGGCGAGTATTCTTTTTCAGTGCAGTCGGCCCGTTGTTGTTTTGTCGCTCAGCAGCCCTTGTTTTCTGGGTCACCTCTAGGGAGATGAACCGTCCCTGGAGCATTGACTGCACTTCTGCATTCGCACCGTTATATTCCAACTTTCGGGCCTGCACATCCGGCTTTCCCCGGATTGATATCAAGGGAGCAGCAACAGCCAAGGCGCGCTGGTGTTGGGCCCCGCCCATTCTCTCCTTTGAGTCTTGACCCCTTAAGGCATAATGAAGTAAGTCCTCGGTCTTGGTCATGCGCTATGCCCCAGATTCAGTAATGTGTGCCCCTGGTAAATCAAATATCGCGAATAGCACATCCTTGAACATCAAAGCCAAATCAAGGAAGGATGTCCCCACCAACTCCGCGTCAACTGTTTCTCTGGTTATTTGATGAGACAGAACTCTGATTCACATCTGGCCCATCGGCATCCGTGATTCTGACCTGGAGCATGGCAAAACATGGCACCATCAGATCTGTCAACAGATGACATTTTGGTCAGTCCTTACCTCATGGTCATGTCCGCAGAGCAGTGCTACTCGCCAAATCATCAAGTGCTTCTCTCGGGCCTAAAGTGGATACACGGTTTCTCCTTGACATTATTTGGTTGGAAGTGATCAGTCAACAGACTGGGTCCCATTATCCCCGGCACTGTCACGAAGCTCTTGTATCGCGTCCCTGTCCCAAGCGTTTTCTAATGGGTCGCCTTCGACTTTTGGGCCGCAACAATAGAAGAGGAAGACCTCGGTATATTGAGAAGGAACCGATAAATCACATTCATGTGACCATGCGTATCATGCCCTCTCAGAGTCTTTCTTCTCGCCTTTGATTGACTTTGCCAGCCGACCGCAGCTTGGCCTAACGTCCGCGGCCCGCCTTGGTGCCGTTCGGCCGACATGTTTTGAGTGACTAGCACTGTCGAGGTCCGCAGACTTGCAACAGTGTGTCTTTGCTCAATGATCACAGTTAATGGCCATCCCGCAGCAATAACAAACGGATCAGCACCCAAGCACAACTACTGCAGAACTGTGTTCTTCTCGTCATCTTAAATGGAAGTGATATCATTGGGTACTGCCGATGAGTGAAATTTTGAGTCATGCGCTTCGATCATGACGTTGTACGCCCCGTGCGATCAAACGTGACAGCGTGGATTCATGTTTCGCTGAGTTTAGGCCCCGGGTCCGAGGCGAGGGTTTGCTTCTTACTTTACATGCAACACGAAGACTGTCATTGGACTTTGAAGGTGCTTCCTCACAACATTTATATAATGCTTCGTTGGCGTGGTACATCTCGCGCAATGTCCTTTGATCTCATCAGTCGGACCGTGCACCCGACGTACGACGCCGTCCAGAGAGGAACCACTGTAAGAAGTATTTTGTTTGTCACGCTCATATCGAAGAGTGTGCGGCTTATGTACCAGGATCCATTATTCTCGGGTGTGGCTTTGCTTTCGCACACTGAGGTATCATGCCCTTCATAATTCATTTCCGTCCGCACCAGGGAACATGGCTCGTGTACTACAAGCATGAGAGTTACGTGCAGCGGTCTGCATACTACTTGAGACCCTATGCGGCATCGCACTGAATGTCGGCAAGGATTACCATTGGCCGTTGGCCGAGACCCGGGGACTATCTATATCATAGTCGATCGGAACACAACGTGCTGTGTGGCAATTTCCGGTTCACTTGTGGCACTGAAACTCAGAAACCACGGAGCGCTCGAGCACTGTGACGCTGTCCGAGGCAGTCGCGAGCGCTCATAACCCAAAGCCAATTGCACACTTTCAAAATATTGGGGTGTCCGAGGGCTCGCTATATCCCCCTTCCACCAACCTGGGCCCTTCACAAGACATCTTTCACAAGGCTCATACAACGCTACGCGCTGGTGGTAAATTCGGAGGAAAATAAATCAACGGCTGGTGCTAAGCGGATGTAATTCCGGAGGCCTTCAACTTCCATTGCTAAATCTCAGGCGCTCGCATACGCAATATCACGAGGAGTCAGAGCTGGAGCGGATGTGGTGATCCGGGCGGTGTCAGACGGTCTCCCGCATTCCCTCATGGAGGCTATTCCGTAGAAGCCTACTGAATGCGGAGACTGAACGTTCGAGGCAGCAAAGGGTGCGAAAGATACTGATCTCGCAATCAGTACTGTGTCGGGTAGATCTTGTGGCAGCTTGACCGTCAATCCGCCATGTGTGCGCGTACGATACATTGGAATGTGGCTCTGCAAACTCAATCCTTTGAAGTTTGTGCCACTGACGCGGACTCCAGAGACAGGCGTTGATTTCTTAATTTGGCTTCCCCGAAGCCATCGGAGTGAATCGGGAATTTTCGGCTCGAAGGCTTAGCTAATTTTGGCAACTTTGTTTGACTCCTGTCAGCTGCCTGGGTCTAATTGACAAGTTTTTGATCGTTTTGCTCCTTGACTCTGACCACCATCTTCCCTGATCCTTCAGCGTCTTTGATAAACATCCAACAAACTTTCGTATTTTCTCGCTCATTGTTGACATATCTGCTAGCTTCTTCTTTCTATGGCAATTACTCCTGTTCCTTTCGACGATCATCACACAAGTTCTCTACCCCTCGTCTCTGACGAGACGTCCACGGCCGATAATGGTTTTAACGCTGTGGAGCGTGATCCCAACTCCTGGGCAGGATCCCTTCCTGCGAACCAGGGCTTGTACTCCAACGAGAACGAGAAAGACTCGTGTGGTGTGGGTTTTATCTGCCATATCAAGGGCGAACAGAGCCACAAAATAGTCTCCGACGCACGTCAATTACTTTGTGCAATGACGCACAGAGGCGCCACCGGTGCCGATAGCCGTGATGGCGATGGCGCTGGTGTCATGACTGGCATTCCCCATCAGTTTTTCAAGCGCGAAGCAGAAAGGGACATTGGATGCACTCTTCCCACACCAGGGGAGTATGCCGTAGGCAATGTCTTCTTCAAGGCTAATGATCCTATTCAATTGCAAAGCAACCAATCTGTTTTCGCCAATATCGCCAGTCAATTGGGTCTCCGGGTTTTAGGGTGGCGTGAAGTTCCGACCGACGGCACGATCCTTGGTCCTGCTGCAAGCAGCAAGGAACCTACGATTCACCAGCCTTTTATTGTCTTGCGCAACCATTACGGTGATGGAATCGCAAGTCAAAATGGACCTTTCGATGCCAAGCATTTCGAGCGACAGCTGTACGTTTTGCGCAAGCACGCGACGCACACCATGTTTGTGACTTTAATTATTCTAGTTCATGAAACAAGCTTATCACCCATTCGCGAACCTTTCTTTTTATTGTATAAAGTACGCTCGCCAACGGCTTTTACGTCTGTTCTTTGTCCTCGAAGAACATCGTGTATAAGGGACAGCTCACTCCTCCCCAAGTATACAATTACTATCATGATCTCAATCATGTCCTGTATCGTTCGCATTTTACTTTGGTGCATTCTCGATTCTCGACAAACACATTTCCTTCTTGGGATCGAGCTCAGCCAATGAGATGGGCTGCTCACAACGGTTAGTGATCTGCACCTTAATGATGCCAGGTAAGCCCTGACGTGAAAGTTCTTAGGTGAGATCAACACCGTGCGTGGCAACAAGAACTGGATGCGAGCTCGAGAAGGCGTACTTTCATCCACTCATTTCGGCGACCAGCTCGATCTGCTCTATCCCATCATCGAGACAGGTGGATCTGACTCTGCTGCATTTGATAACGTGCTTGAGTTGCTCGTTGTCAATGGCGTTGTCACATTGCCTGAGGCAGTCATGATGCTTATACCCGAAGCCTGGCAAGGCAACGACAGCATGGATGCCCAGAAACGCGCATTCTATAATTGGGCTGCTTGTCTTCAGGAGCCTTGGGACGGTCCTGCCTTGTTTACCTTCAGCGACGGCCGCTACTGTGGTGCGAACCTTGATCGAAACGGTCTCAGACCATGTCGCTACATCGTCAGCAATGATGATATCATGGTCTGCGCTTCCGAGGTTGGCGCAGTGTTCATTCCTCCTGAGAAGGTAGTTCAGAAGGGACGTTTAAAGCCTGGCCGGATGTTGTTGGTTGATACCCTTGAGGGAAGGATTGTCGACGACAAGGAGTTGAAGCGCAACACTGCCGCTAAGCAGAATTTCGCTTCATGGGTTGAAAGCCACGTCCTGCATGTCCCTACTATCATCAAGCGCATCATCCGTAGCAACACTTCACTTGACACAGTCATTGACGATTCGCCTCTGAGTAGTGACCCCAAGCTCCTTGCATTCGGCTACACCGTAGAGCAACTTAGCCTCCTAATGCTGCCTATGGTAGACACTGGCAAGGAAGCGTTGGGTTCCATGGGCAACGACGCTCCATTAGCAGCGATGGCTACTCAGCCCCGTCTCATTTATGATTATTTCCGCCAGCTCTTCGCACAAGTCACCAATCCTCCTATCGACTCCATTCGTGAAAGCATCGTCATGTCTCTCGAAGCATACGTCGGCCCCGAGGGCAATCTCCTGGAAATGAAGCCGGAGCAGTGCCACCGCATTCTCCTACCTTCTCCTTTGATTTCCTTGGAGGAAATGAACGCTATGAAGAATTTGAAGCTTGCCTATGCGGGGTGGCCATCCATCACGATTGACATAACATTCCCCAAAGAAGGGGGGCTCCCCGGATATCAGCTCGCACTGCAACGTGTCTGCAGCGAGGCCTCCCAAGCTATCGAGGATGGCATCAAGGTCATCATCCTTAGTGACCGTGCCACAGGGCCAAACCGTGTCCCTCTATCCGCGTTGGTGGCATGTGGTGGCGTTCATCACCACCTAACACAACAGAAGCAGCGTGCCAAAGTCGCCCTGATGGTAGAGACTGCGGAGGCTCGTG